AAAAAAAAAGAAAAGAAAAGAAAAATGAAAAGGAGATCTGAAAGAATGAACGAGGGCGACTGACGCAGAGAGCGAAATTGGGAAAAAGCAAAAAATACGCTGGCATGCGCGGAGTTTCCGGGTCGGGTCGAGCAAGAGGAGGGGTTTCAGGGAACGACGATTGACCTACACGGCACATGGCATGGTTTATGGCATGGCTTATACGTAATGACCGGGACGCGCGAGGGGTCACCTACTTACCTACCCACCTCGCAGGGGTTTCGGTGGTGTAGAGGCGTTTTGAGTTTGCGGTTGCGTTGTTTGGGTTCGGGATTGGGTTTTCGCGAAGCAAGGCGTTTGGGATTGGGTTTGTGTTGGGTTGCGCGGCGTTGCTCTGTTTCTTCTTTTTCTTGCTGTCCGTTCTGGTTGTTTGTTCATGGAGGGTCTGGGTCGGCATGAAAGAGCGAGCGCGTGGGCGTCTATCTGGTCGTTGTTCCGCTTTTGGACGCGGATGCGCCGCTGGGTTTTGTGGTTGGTTCTTTTCTTGTCATCGTCGTCGTCGTCGGCGCATGAGTTTGCAGTCGGAAAGAGTAGTGGTGGTGGTGGTCGCGGTCGCGGTTGTGCTATACTGTAGTGCGTACGTCCTGTACGCATACACCTCCTCGTGAGAGGCAAATAAGAAAAAGGCACGAAATTGAAAAGTACTACACACAAACAAACAACCCAGTGCAGTCACGACAAGGCGCGGGTCTCACCTACATATAAGTATAAATATAAATTCGCGCGCGCGCGTGCCTCGGATGGCGTGCTTCGGGTGCGGATGGCGTGCCGCGTCGGCGCGTGCGCATGGCGTCGGGTGTGGCGGGCGGGGAGAGGGATTCGCGCTGGGATTGGTGCGCCCTGTGCGTCTGTTTATGTATGTAAGGAGGGCGTGGGCAGGGGATCCTGTTTTGGGTTTTGGGTTTTGTGGTGGTGGTGTGGTGTTGTGTGTGGTTGTGGGTTTGGTGGATGGATGGATGGGTTAGTGGACCGTGAGGGCGGGCTGTTACTGGCAGGCGCTGCGAGATTGATTAGGAAGAGCGGATCTGCGCTCGCTGTCGGTGACTCGGCGGAGTGCGCGGTAAGTAACTCTAGTGGTTGTGGCTTAGTTGCCGTTTGTGGTAAGGGGATTGGCGCGGAGTTTAGTTGGTCGATCGTTTTGTGTTGGGTTAAGGGTTTACTGAGGGCAGGTATAGGAGCTGTGGAGGATGTGGAGATGGGTGAGATGAGCTTTGGTTTTGTTGTCATGTGGTTATTGGTGGGTTGGGGTATGTATTTTGGGCTCTGGAGATTGTTGTTTAGTACGACTGCACTGCAACTGTCTGAGAGTGCCAGGGTCGGCCTGCAGCCACAAAGCTTACTTGGGGCGCTAGCTTTAACGACCTCGCTGTTACTACTCGTGCGTTTACTTCTTTGGTTATTGGTTTTTCTGCTTTAGGGGTTGGTTCTTTGTTGTGCCTGCTACAGACGACTGTCCGGTGGTTTATGGACTTGTTCGATGCTGGTGCCTACGCTCGCTCGTATGCTAAGGGTTTTGTTGTCGTCTTCGTTAGTTAGTAGCGGTGCAGTTATTAAAGAAGTTTTAGATGGTGCAATTTTAGTAGGTACTGCGGCGCTGGAGTAATCACTGGGGAAACAATTGCGTTAGTGTGGCTAACGTCAAGAGACTCACTGTCTAACGAGATAGCGAATGCTACAAGTAGTCCCTATAGAATACTCCTTGCCTAGCTACAAACCTCAGTCCTGGATATAAGCGAGGGGGTTCTAGAACGCACGTGTAAGACGAATTGTCTTGCCGGATTTTTTGTTTCTACTCCGTACATGCACCATTATCTCATTAGGTAGATGAAGCTCTTTTAAACGCGGATAGAGGGAAACTAAACGTAATTATATGTTTCTGAGCAGATTGTGGTTCTATGAGGAATAATTTACGCCCTTAAAGGCAGATCCGACGTCACTGATCCGAGATTGAACGGAATTGAGGCCTGAGGAAGAATCTGTGATATTTTTATGTGATTAAGAAAAGTCTGCTTTCTTCAGCCAATCTTCGGGGTGCTGTGTGAATAAGTCGTACGCGCGCGACTACTTCAACACCAGGCCAGGCCGCGGACGAAAATAGCCTTTGAAGCGCTTTGATTGGTTTAGACCGCGAAATTCATCGTGTTTGACGTGATTTCCCTCGTTTAAAAAGTGTTCGGGTTCACGATACTTCCGGAATGTCACCGGTCGGATAGGTGGCTCAGCGGTTACAGAATGGATGCCATTGGAAGTGTTGTTTCGCGTGCTGGGGTGGTTGTCGGAGAGCACGCATGCGGCGAAGCGGTTGCGGCGGAGCAGTCACCCCCCGGTAGCAGTCTCCCCCAGTTGATGACCTAAGGATGAGCACAGACTTGTTTCGTCTTGCACCTCCTTCATCAACAAGTTTGTAGATTTCTTCAGCTACAACGACATGTCGGCGATTATGATGTCCAAGCGCAAGCTTACCCTCGTGGTTGCCGCTTTTGTGGTCGTCTCTCTAATTTCCTTTAATTCTTCTTCTTCCTTTCAATTTCTGTACAGAGCTCTTCCGCCTGCGAATGTGGTCAACGACAACTCGCAAGCAGAGCTTTTGAAGCCATCTGAGCCTGACGATGGGAAATTCCACTGGAGTATGGCGCTCCAGCGATATCCCGTATCGTCTATGACCCCCATTCCCACGGGCAGGACAAAGATGCCCCGGATCCAGCACACGTTTAATGCCGAGAATGACAAGGCACGTGAGTTGCGACTGACCCGCCTGGCCGCCGTCAAGGACAACTTTACGCATGCGTGGAGCGGCTATAAGAAGTATGCATGGTTGAGCGACGAAGTGGCACCGATCTCCGGTGCTGCTCACAACTCGTTCGGAGGCTGGGCCGCAACACTTGTGGATTCACTCGGTAAGTGGCAGTGCTGTCTAGCAATCTTTTAATGAATGCTAATATTATTGTTAGATACTTTGTGGATTATGGGTCTCAAGGAAGAATTCGAAGAAGCTGTCCATGCGATCGATCAGATTGACTTCACTACGTGTGCTCTTGAAGACATCAACGTTTTCGAGACTACAATTCGTTACTTGGGTGGCTTTCTTGCTGCCTATGACTTGAGCCAAGGCAGGTATCCTTCACTTCTTCAGAAGGCGACTGAAATGGGTGACATGCTCTATGCCGCCTTTGATACGCCCAATCGTATGCCCATCACCAGATGGAACTTCAAAGCTGCAGCAGAGGGCGCTCCACAAGAAGCACCAGAGTCAGCCTTGGTTGCTGAAATTGGTTCTCTGACGCTGGAGTTTACACGTCTCTCGCAGCTCACCAACAATCCCCGTTACTACGATGCTATCCAGCGTATTATGGACGTTTTTGAGGTGCAGCAAAACGACACCAAACTTCCAGGGATGTGGCCCATTGCTGTCAATGCCAAAGACCTCGATTTCACTGATTACGGCGGATTTACTATTGGTGGTATGGCTGATAGTCTGTACGAATATTTCCCGAAGGTAAGTATGAACTTTCTTAACTTTCTTGTTATCAGGATGAGGCGATTGACTTAAAGCAGCAACATATGCTCCTTGGCGGGGCAACGGAGCAGAACAGGAGGCTCTTTGAAATTTCAGCAGCTGCTATGAAGAAGCATATGATCTACAGACCGATGACGCCTGGAAACCTCGACATTTTAATGCCTGGCGATATTTCATCAGACGGTCTACATATCCGTCTAGATCCCAGGAACCAACATCTGACCTGCTTTGCTGGCGGCATGTTTGCAATTGCGGGGAAGATATTCCAGAACAAGGAGGACGTAGATGTCGGCCGCAAGCTCACTGATGGTTGTCTCTGGGCATACGAAACGAATCCTCACGGCATCATGCCGGAAATCATGTACACGATTCCGTGTGAAGATGGCTCTGCCTGTCGGTGGAACGAACAGAAGTGGCTTGACGAGGTCATGCAAGCTTTCAAAGAACTCGGCGGCGATTCAAGAAAACTCGTCCAGGAGAAGCATCTGCAGAAGGGCATCTCTAGAGTGGCCGATACACGTTATATCCTCCGGTGAGTAAATTTTTGTTTAGCCACGGGCATTTACCCTTTACTCTGATGCTAACCCATACAGTCCCGAGGCCATCGAGTCGGTCTTCATCCTGTATCGCATCACTGGTGACCAACAATATTCAGAGCGAGCGTGGAGAATGTTTGAGAACATTGTCGCGAACACCAAAACCGACATCGCTCACGCGGGCCTCGACGACTGCATAACCCCAAACCCGCCCAAATCTGACCGGATGGAGTCGTTTTGGCTCGCCGAAACGCTCAAGTACTTCTACCTGATCTTTTCGGATCCCAGCCTCGTCAGTCTCGACGAATACGTTTTGAACACGGAGGCACATCCGTTGAAGCGGCCGACGTGAAATAGAATTCTAGCAAGTCTGGGTTTTTCTTTTTAAGTAATGAGTAAAAGTTTGTGGTACTGGAAGGATGCGTTTTAGCTTTTTTCTTTGAGAACGATAGCTCGCTTCACGTCATGCCGGTACAATAACATGAGAGTACTCTGAGCAAGTTGTTAAAGACCATAAAAACATGGCAAGAATCGTATACAGAACACCATCTGATTTACATCTCCATCACTGAAACAGAAATTCCACAAACCCAGAACCAACCATCATCGCCTACCTCACAACATAGTGCAGCAACAAACCACAAGCGCCAACCCACAAAGCGACGTCCACACCCCACGTCACGTTACACAGCCCGCCCCCACGCCCACAAAAATTCCCTCTTTCGACCCCTCCTGCATCACCAATCCAGCCCCAACATCCTCCACAAAACACAACACTCTCCCACCCATTCCCTCTCCCACCCCCAAGCCCAAGCCCAAGCCCAAACCGCAAGCCCAAACCACATCCGCCTAGCGCGTCAGCACGACGAAACCAAGCTCGAACGTCAAAGGCTTGCCAGATCGCGATCAGGGCCCTAGCGCCGGGCGCGCTAAGCCCGTGCCTGGGGGGGCCTGGGCGCTTGCTCGTACGAGTACGAGTAGCTCTAGCTCTAGCTCGGTCAGGCGTTGCGGATCGCGGTCTGGGCGGGCTGGGCTGTGTGGTGGGGTGGGGCGGGGTGTATTGAGGGGGAGTACTGCTGCTGCTGTGAGGGAGTACGGGTAGGCGTTGTGCGTGGATGGGGGCGGGTGTGGCTGTTAGGGATTGTTTCCTGGTCTGCATTTCGTCTTTTTCTGGTTGGGAACGTGTGCGAAAGACAGGATAGGATGATGATGGTGATGATGAGGCTTGATTCGCTGCTTGAGTTGAGGACTAGGTATGGCGCCATGTGCAAAGAAAGAAAGGTAGGTGTACGACCAGCCATTCCCCTACCAGTACCAACAACAACAGAAGCAAACATTCCAAGCCCGCAAGCCGTTCCCAAAAGACCCTTCCACCCAAATTCAATCAGCGCACGCAACACAAAGCGGCCATTCGTGTCCACGATCATACATAGGTTTGATATCTTGCTTGCCAGGCTGCTGGCTGGCTCTGCCTGCCTGCTTGCTTTCAGTAGCTACCACCGTAGGAGTAAGTGCCTGGCTGCCTTCGTAGGTAGAGCACCTAGTTCCCTCCTCGTGCCTTGTGCCTCCTCGTTCCCGCTCCCGGCACGGACGCATGAAATTTTCCCGTTCATTCCGGCCATCTGCCCGCCTGCTCGCCCGTCCGTCCGCCCGTCCGTTCATCGGTAGGTCCATCCATCAGAAACGCCTCAACACCAGGCCGTGGTAAGGTGGGCAAGCACGAAGGAGGAGGGTAAGCATGCACCGTCGTGCAGCTGCCCTGTCGAGCGGAGGCAGCAGCGGCAGCAACCCGTGCACACACAAGCCGTACTCGCACAACAAACGCAGCACCACCGCTTTCCCGCCCCGCCCACATACCCATGGCTGATTTAAGCCCACCAAGACCCCGTCCCGCTAAGCCCCAGTCCGCACGTAAAAACACCAAGCCCTAAACCCGACAAATACGAACCGCGCCAAACGGAGTTTTCAAAAAACGCTTTTTTTGCCCCAGAAGCGGCAGCACTGGAAGATGAAGAAAAAAAAAGAAGAAGTAGAAATGAGTCGGGAAAAGTGCGCGCAAATTGTAGCATCAGCGCCGCCGCGCTCACCTGAACGCCACGGCCTTGACAGGGCTGCCGCGCTCGCTTGGCGCCGGCTCCATCCCGCTGCTTTGCATGATGGCTGCGCTGGGCGGGAAGCCGCCTTGCCACGGCGTGGCGTGCATGGGGGTCCAGTAGCCGCCCTCGGGCCAGTTGCCAGATGGCATGCGGTGCTGCGGCGTGGGAGGGACAAAGTGCGGCGGGTATTGCTGTTGCTGTTGCTGCTGGTTCTGAGGGAATTGCTGCGGGTGGTCGTGGGCGTATTTGTTGCGGAAGATGGAGAAGGCGAAGTTGGACATGGCAATGCAGCCGAAGATGATTACGAGGGAGAAGGCCTAAAGGGAGGAATGGTTAGTTTATGTTGTATTACGTGCATTGGAGGATGAGAGGCGCAAATGATTTGGGTAGCCATGAAATAAAGACAGAAGCAAACTTACCATAGCCTTATAGCTAATAGGTTCAATGAAGGAATTGAAGATCTGCGCAAATGTATGCGCGCTGACCCTCGCGCGGCCCACAGCCTTCGGATCCTTCGACATGCACTTCTCCCAGTTTGTGCAGACAACTTCGAGCGCCGGCATCCTCGTACCGGGATCGCACTGGTTTTCGCGGTAATTCTGCGCGCAGACCGCCATCTCAGCCAGCGTTTCCGCAATGGCGCGCTCCGACTCGATATCGACATCTCCCTTGATAGCTGTCCAGAAGGTGTATACGGCGTAAATGATGACAAAGACGACGAAGAAATTGAGCAGCAGTTGCGCATAGTACGAAAGGATGTGGGGAAGAGCCGGATGCGTTTCGATGTACGAGAAGATGGCCGCGACGATGCTGCTTTTTGCCTCTTGTGCCTTCTGTTTGACCTTGTCTTTCGTGCTCTTCTCTCCCTCTTCGTCCGAATCTTCTGCGTCTTCGTCTCTGCTGTTACGTGTTCGCCGCGCGCCAGGAGTACGTCGCGAGCGCTCTCTCCGCTTTATGATACGCCGCTCCGCCTTGTCCGTATACGGCTCCCGCACTTTTACCAATTCTTTACCGTCGCGATCTTTGCCTGGGCTTCCTAGCCCGCGTACAGCGCTCATAAACCAGCTATCTCTCCTCTTGGGACTCTTGGTGGGGCTGGTGCTGCGTCCGGCCATAAAGTTGATGGTGCGCCTAATGCCCATGTTGTTGTCGGGCGTGGCTTCGCTGTCGGCTTCGACGGCGGGCGTGTCAGGTGTTTCGCCGCCGGAGCTGTTAAAGTCTAGGTCGAACTTGCGCGGAGTAGTGAATTTGGGGTCTTTCATATGCGACTTGTCGGGGCTGCGCTGAGGTGGTGCGCCAAAGGCTGAGGGCGTTTGCGAAAAGTAAAAGGGCTGGGAGGCGGGGGGACGGAGGCTGGGCGTCTGTGGTTTCGACGACGGCGTGTCCAGGAAGTTGTGAGTGCCTTAGCAACGTCAGCATGGCGCCTCCCACGGCCCAGAGGCCCAAGCGCAACTTACGTTTCTTCGCTGTACTTTGCGCGTTGCGACTCGCCGTGATGAACGGGCTGGTCTCGTCGACAGGACCGGTGCCGTTGCTGTACTCGTAGTCCATGGGCGTGTGCCCAGATCGCCTGTCCATGGTGCAGAACTGGGGGTGATTGGGGCGGAAGCGAGCGTGCAGCGGTGGTGGAGCGTCGGTCGAGCAAGAGAAGCTCTGGAAACCGTATGTTTCCTTGTAAACATTAAGGTAACATGGACCTCCCGGCAAAAGCTCGGGCCTGGCCTGACGTGGGAAGCAGGGAAGACGGCCCAGTTGCGTCAATACATCACGTGTCAAACTGTTGGGATTTCGGTATTGAGACAGTCGGAAATCAATTGCTTTGCAGAAACGTTTGTATCATGACAGAAGAGCATGGAACCTCCCTCCCCAAGAGCATGCATCCGTCTATGCATCTTCTAAAACTCAAAAACCCCGTCAAACGCCAATACGTACAGCATTACAAACATTCATCTTCGTTCATTTTCCTTGTTTTCCTCTTTCCTCGTCCCCTTGCTCCCATCTAGGCGGCCTTGGCCACCTCGGGCTTCTCCTCGTACTTGTCCCAGTTGGCCAGGATGTTGCCAATCTTGGGCGAGTTGGTCAGACGGTACACGTCCTCAAAGTACTCCTTGGTAATCTCGAAAGGCCTGGCAGTCACGTTGGGAATGTACTTCCCAATGAGCTTGCTAGGGTCGATGCTGGTCTTGTGGATCTTCTTGAGCAGGAAGCTACGGAACGGCTTGACACCGCTGCGCAAGAAGGTCGAGTGGAAGGGCACGTCAATGCCCTTGAGGGGAATCGTGGCGAAGCCACGCTGCAGCTCGAGCGGCTTGGGCCTGGCCTCGGTCTGCTGCGCACAACCCTTGATGATCTCCACCAGGTGCGCCTTGACGTCCTCGAGGCTCATGCTCTGCATCAGCGCCTGGATGTCGATCTTCTGCGCCTTGAGGTAGTTGAGCACGTTGCCGAGGCAGTCGAGCGCGCGCAGGTCACCAGCAGCAACGTACTGCATGTTGGCGATGTTGTAGTTGACAATCTCCAGAAGCCAACCAGTCTCCTGGGAAATGTTCTCCACAACGTACTGCAGAGCCTGCTCGTTGAAGGTCTTGGAGATACGAGAGGGGTTGACGGCGCACATGCTGTAGTTGGAACGGCCGTGCTCGTCACGCTCGACAGCGACCTGCATGGTCAAGCCGCGGTAGAACACGACCGAGACGAGAGACTCAATCGGCATGACCTCGGCCAGCGCAGCAAGGGCAGAGTATTCACCAAGCGAGTGACCGGCAAAGCTGCTGTCGCGCTGAACAAGGCCCTTGGCGCGCATGTCCTCGAAGGAAGCCTTCTCCATCAAGGTCAAGGCAGGCTGAGTGAACTGAGTGGCAGACAGCAGACCGGTGGGCGAGCGGTAGGTGTAGGAGGTGGTGGTCTCATCAATCTCCTTGAAGATCTTCTCCGACTTAACGGTGCCATCGGAGGAGACAGTCTCGAAGGTCATGGACATGTAGTTCTGGCGGATGGCCTTACCACGAGGACCACCAAAGTGGATGGTGAGCTCCTTGGGGTTGTTCCTGACAATGTTGGTGATGGCAAAGCCGTAGTTGTCCAAGAAGTGCTTGTCGGCACGGTCCCAGACCTCCTGAGCCACAGGGGAGCTGGCGTACAGGTCCATACCCATACCCTGCTCCTGCGAGCCCTGACCAGTGAACACGTAAGAAGTAGTCGGCTGCTCAACCTCGGCCTCACCAAGGAGGACCTTGTCCTCGGTCTCCTTGTTGGAGGCCTCAACCTTGATGATCTTGCGACCAGAGACCATACCAACGTGCTGGAGCTTGACATCGATCATGTCATCAGGCAGGACCATACCAACAAGAGAAGCGTGGAAGCTGCGGACACGGCCGACGTTGTTCTCAGCAGCCCAAGTCTCAACCAGGCTACGAACAGCGGCACTGGAGTACATGCCGTGCGTGATGGTGCCGGGCAAGTTCGCGAACTTGGAGAATACGCGGGACACGTGAATGGGGTTGTAGTCGCCAGACACGCGAGCGTAGGTCTCGTTGGAGGCAGGAGCCTTGAGCGAGAGAGGAGCCTTGCCGTGAAGGTTGATCGCGTTCTCAAACAAGACGGGCTGGTCAACCTTGGTACCATTGCGCTCAAGGTAGTCGACAACAGGGTTGCCGTGGGAGGTACCCGCCTCGTACTCGACGGAGGCGATCTGAATGATCTCCTTGGTAGGCAACTCCAGGAGGACCTCACCAACAGTCTCAACAGAGCTGAAGACGGTCTTGTTCTTGTAGCGAACCAAGCTCTGCAGCTTGAAGGTAAGGGTCTTGTTGAGAAGCTCAGTCTCAGGGTCCTCAAGCTTGAACCACTCCTTGGAACGGAGGATAGCAACGTCCTTAGTGGTAGCCAAGTGGAGGTTGAAGGGGATCTCAGTCTTCCTCTGGAAGGTGTTCTCGTAGTCCTCGTACGCGCCACGGTACAGGAACTGGCTAGTGACCTCCATGATGGGCTTGCCATCGCGAGTGATGGTGCCACAAACCTCAACCATCTTGCCAGAGTCCTGGTTGATGACAGCGTTGATCTGGGCAGTGGTGTCCAGGACATCACCCTTCTTGAGAGGCTCAGCACCAGGAATCATCCTGAAACCGTTGGACAAGTGAACAAGCTTCAGGAGGTCACCATCGATAGCCCTAGGGAAAATGGGCTTGGTGATAGCCTTCCAGCCAACGACAATGGCAAAGTCCATAGGCGCGTAAACGATCTTGCCGGGCCTGTCCACGAAAGCCTCGCCGGTGTTGCCAACAGCATGGACGAAGTCGTTGATGGCCTCGCTGGTGACGGTAGCCCTGCCACCCTCGAAGGTTGAAGTGACAGAGGCATCGAAGGGGCAAGCCTCGTCACCGAACCAGATCTTGTAGTAGAAGTCCTTGATCCTGTCGTTGCGAGCCTCCATGACTTCACGGATTGGCGCGTAACCAGCCTCGGGGTGGTAGGTGAACTTGAGAGGAAGGGCAACCGGCTGCTGGAGGGCAGTGCGCTCTTCGATCATGTTGACGAAGATCTCGTTGCCGTTCTGGAGGCTGATCTCAAGAGTCTTGATGTGCTTGCCACCAGTGGAGGGCTCCTTGATAGTGATGATAGTGTTGGCAGCATCGTTGGGGTTGGTGATTTCAACCATCATGCCCAGGGTAGGAGTGAAGATCCTTTGCATGGGGTTGGTCTGGAAGCGCTGACCCTGAACGAAGACGTCCGCCGTGAAGAAAGCGTGTCTCCAAGAGTAGGACTTGCCAGCAAGGAGCTGCATCCAGGAGGTGACGTCGGGAAGAGTGGCGTTGGGCGCAGACGAAAGTCTGTAGATGACCTTGTCCTGAACCTCAGAAACGGTCAAGCCCTCAACCTCGACAACATCCTCGTGAGCACCAAGCAGCTTGGTGCCGAAGTACTCAATCGCGGGGATGGCGGACTCGTCACCACCGTAGAGATCCTGGGTGAGCATCTTGATGTGGCCGTTATGGATGCCATCGAGGATGTCCTTGACGGGCTCATCGACAATGGTGGAGTACTTGACGGCCATAGGACCCTGCAGGATACAAACTCTGCCAACATCCTGGTCAACAACTGCCTCAAGGTCCTCAGACTGCCACAGGGAGTCCTTCTTGAAGTAGAACTCGAAGTTGTCATCGAGAGAAGGAACGAAGGGCACAGGCTTCTGAGCAATTCTCTGGCAGAGCAAAAGGAAGTGCTGAACATCCTGAGCGCTGATGAGCTGCGTGTCGGCCAAGGGGTACTCCTTCAGGAGAGCATCAACAAGCTCGAATGGCTTCTCAAGCTCGGCGTAGCTCTGGACGAAGGAAGGCTTGCCGCTCTCGGTCGCGAAACGCTCCTCAACGCGGCGGATGAAGTCACCGGTCAGACGGAGCAAGCTGGGGTCGATCCAGCGAGACTCGTGCTTGACATACATCAACTCCACCATACGGCGGACAACCTCGCCATAGGTCATGTCCTCGAGGTCAACAGACTCGCCGGCAGAGTTGCGGCCGAACCAGACCTTCTGGAAGTCGTTGTTGAGCTTCTTGATGATGTACTCGCGGTGCTTCTTGAGCTCCGGGATACGCTTAGCCTTGTCGAGAGAGAAAATCTTCTGGTCCATCTCGGCCCAGAACAAAACACCACGAGTGGCAAGCTTGTGGATCGGCTCGCCCATCTCGGAGCGGACGGTGATGACACCTCCAGCGGCGCCCTTGTAGGTCTTCTCCCAATCGCTGTCGTCGAGGCCAGGCGCATCGCAGATGGCCTTCTTGGCAGCCGGCGAAGTGTGGGCCTCCTTGGAAACCATGACACGGGAACCGAAAAGAACACCGTCGAAAGGCATGGGAGGGAAGCCGAACTTCCTGGACCACTCACCAGACAGGTAAGGGTAAGTGTCCTCAGCACCACCGAAACCAGAGCCGGCAATGAGTACGAGGTTGTCGCACTTGCGGATCCTACCATACATCTGGAGAATGGGCTGGTGGAAGTCCTCGAAAGAGTGGTGGCCACCGCCACGGCCGCCGGTCCACTGAAGCATGACAGGGAAGGTAGGGTTGGCCTTGGCAATGTTGATGACCTGCTGGATAGCCTCCATCGATCCAGGCTTGAAGCCAATGTGCTTGATGCCCAGGGTCTCAATGTACTCGTTGGCAACCTCAATGGACGGAACACCAGCACCGATGGTAAGACCCTCAATAGGGACACCCTCAGCACGCAGACGTGCGATCAAGGGAATCTGCCATTGCATGGCACGGGGGTTGACGTAGATGAGGTTGATAGTGATACCGCGACCGGCAGGAATGGCCTTTTCGATCTTGGAGATCGCATCCGCCATCATACCGTCGAAGAAGTATCCGCCACCGGCCAACTCAATCTCGTAACCAGCGTTCATCGTAGCAGCAACAAAGTCCCAGGGGACCGTGCAAGGAGTCATACCAGCAACCATGACAGGAGGAAGACCCAGAAGTCTGCTCATCTTCGTGTCAACGAAGGTCTGACCCGCAGAAGTCTTGACAAGCTTGGGACCGTGCTCCTTGACCCAGTCAACAGCGTACTTGACGGCATGCTCGGCATCCCTGTCAAAGAGCTCAGGCTTGTAGCCGACCTCGGTGTTTGAGGAATCCATAGTGCCAGCCAGGATCACGCGAACACCGGTACCCTCTTTGTTGCGGTTCGTGAGAACACCGAGACCGGAAATGCCACCAGGGCCAAAGTCAAGAATGTGAGTGGCATTAGGGAAGACCGTCGCAACCTCCCAATTGACAGGGTCCTGAGTGATCATGCGGATGAGGGCAGGGACAATGTTGTCAGCCTTGTCCTCCCGAATGTCCTTGCCAGTGTTCGTGTCGAACATCGGAATCTCGAGGCTTTCGCTAGAGATCACAACATCCTTCAGGTCCTCGTCAAGGTGGGTGGTCGCATCCTTCAGGTAGGGGCTGTGGAAAGGCGCAGTGATGGGCAAGAAACGGTTCACAAAGCGAATCTTGCGGTCAGTGAAGGGAATGCGAGTCTGGTCGAGGCCAGTGGGGGCCTTGCCCTTCCTCAGACGAAGGTTGAGACCGTAGAGAGAGATGGGGGGACCGGTAACAACAAAGTTGCGGGCACTGTTGACGAGAGAAATGGCAATGTGCTGGTCCTCGGGCAGATGCTGGTTGGTGGCATCAATGTGGTCCTGGACAGCCTTCCGCGAAAGATCACGGATGGAAAGCATGGGCGTAGGGGCGCCCTCGCCGTTGTCAATAGAGTCCTGGAGGACATTGGGGGCGATGGACGTCCTCGGGTATGCCTGCTGGCTGCGCGAACCAATCCAGAATAGGATGGTAAGCGCATCGCGAGATGCCTTGTCGAAGGTCTCCCAGTTCTTCGACGCAGCAATCGCTGCCGCGGTCACGACACCCTGCGAGTGACCAGTGGTACCGCTGAAGTAGTTCCTCACGTGGCCAGGGTGGCTTCCCAGGACCCTGCAGGTCACGACGTAGTGTGCAAGCTGCGTCAGACCAATCAAAGGCAGAGAAACCGGCGCAGAGACGAGGTAGTCAGTGTCCGGCTGCGAGTCGCGGTTGTTCAGCCACCTCATGACATCCAGACCCTTGGCGTACTGCTTCTCGGCACGCGCATCGCGCGAGAGCGTCTGCAGATGCGAGGCAGCTGCGTTGACGAAGTCCTCGACAAAAGCGGGGTAGGTGTTGTAGACCTCGCGCAGCTCCTCGAAGTACTCCTCAATGTTACCCTGACCACCGAAAACAGGGTAAATGTGAGCGTTCCCATCAGCGGCCTCGCGGAACAGCGCCGACTCGTGGTGCTTGATGGGCCTGTCAACGGCCGCACGAGCAGCGTAGTATGCGCTGACCGTGGCCAGCTTCTTCGACTCGATGCCGGGCAACGAAGCAGCCACGGCGTGGACCTCGTTACCCCGGAGGAAAGCCCGCTCGAACTCGTTCAAGACGAGCTTGAGGACCTCCTCGAAGGATCCGGGGTCATCGCCCTCCTCGACCTCGCGGGCAATGAAGCCGAGGTACCGTGCGACCAATTCACACGCGGAGGACGGCTCGTCATCCTGCGCAAGCTCCTCGGTGGGCTCTGGCAGTGTAGAAAGGAAGGTGTCTTTCAATTGCGAGGCATTGAAGTGGAGCGCGGTCGGGATGAGGAAGGTGTGCTCCAACGAGCCGTGAGAGAGGATGAGGGGACGGAGATGCGCCTGAGAGCGAGGCGTCGAGACGCCAGTCTGGGGACCGGAGCCGTACATTTTTTGGGGGAGGTGGTGGGATGGAGGAGACGGAGAATTAGAAAGTACTGCGCGCTGCGAGGAAAGATGGGAGGTCAGTCAACGCGCTCGCCGAAGAGGGCCCAGAAGCTGCAGCTAGGCTAATTTTTCTGCTGAAGCCTCGGGAATTGGCCACGCATCTGACGGCGGGCGGGAGGATGCACTCACTCAACTCGCTAATAGACAAGGCGCAAGGGACTTTGTGTGGACTGCGGCGGCGGTGGCAGCAGCTCCCTCGGGCACAGCACAGAGGAAAAGGTGTGCGCGTGTGGGTATATGGTAGTGGCGGGCACGCACGGGAGGGAGGGAAAAAACAGGAAAGGCGGAGGAAGGGAAGAGGGCAATTGGGAAGAAGTGCGGAGGCGTGGGCTGATGAGCAGCAAAGCTCTTTTCTCTTGACTTTGCGTCGCGCGCTGGCGGAGCTTTAGTTGAGCGGCCAGGCGAGCAGGGGTCGATTCGGTTGGGACGTCAGGTATGCAGGTCGCATGCAGCCCCAGCCCGCCGTGTGGAGAGGCGGTCACAGCCTCGGAGACGCTCGGGTTTGGCGTGTGCAGGCAAATCGCAACGCCGCCCGGATCGCATGCATGCCATGGGCCTGTTCAACGCGCCCTCCAGGGTTTGGGGCGGGGCGCGCGCATTGAGAAATCGAGGCCTCCCATTGCACGCCCGCCCAGCACTAGCCGATTTTCGTTGGGCGGCCTGCTCCGCCAAAGCTTCAACAGAGCATCGCCAAACTCAACACCTGCAGCTGTTTTTACGTGCGCCTGCATGCCCCCAGCACCGCGCTCCTCATATCCCCAAGACGCCCTGTTGTCCTTCTTCCCTCCGCATTCTTGGTGCTGCTGCATCACGCCCTCCAACTTTTTTTTTCCACCTCCTCCCTCCCCGCGCTTTCCCTCTCCGCTAGCCCGCTCGCCGCCGCCTGTCCGCGCCATTGACTTCGGCTCGACTCTCGGCTGCCTTCCTGAGCGCCCCTTCTAGATACCCTTCTACTTAATTTTTGTCTCCGCGCCTCTCCCCCCAACCCCTCCCTCATCACCGCCCAGCATGCGTCCCGAGATCGAGCAGGAGCTCTCCCACACGCTCCTCGTGGAGCTGCTCGCATACCAGTTTGCCTCGCCCGTGAGATGGATTGAGACGCAGGATGTCATCCTCGGCGAGAACACCACCGAGCGCATCGTCGAGGTTGGCCCCGCAGACACCCTGGGTGTCATGGCCAAGCGGACGCTGGCCTCCAAGTACGAAGCACACGACGCCGCCCGCTCAGTTCAGCGCCAGATTCTGTGCTACAACAAGGACCCCAAGGACATCTACTACGATGTCGAGCCCGAGGAGGATGAGCCCGAGCCGGCTGCTGCCGCCTCGTCTTCGTCTTCTGCTCCCGCGCCCGCCGCCGCCGCATCAGCACCTGTCGCCGCCGCGCCTGCTCCCAGCGCAGGCCCGGCCGCAGCGGTGCCAGATGCTCCAGTCACCGCGACTGACATTCTGCGGACCATTGTCGCTCAGAAGCTGAAGAAGTCGCTGAACGACATTCCGCTGAGCAAGGCGATCAAGGACTTGGTTGGAGGTACGTCTGCTTCAACGTACGAGCAAAGAAATTTTTCAGCTAACGCAACCAGGCAAATCCACCCTTCAGAACGAAATTCTCGGTGACTTGGGCAAGGAATTCGGCTCAACCCCCGAGAAGCCCGAAGACACCCCTCTCGATGAGCTGGGAGCTGCCATGCAGGCTACCTTCAATGGTCAGCTTGGAAAGCAGTCCGCCTCCCTCATTGCACGTATGATCTCGTCGAAGATGCCTGGTGGCTTCAACAACACTGCAGCTCGCAAGCACTTGGAAACCCGATGGGGTCTTGGTCCCGGCAGGCAGGACGGTGTTCTGCTGCTGGCGCTCACCAACGAGCCGCCCAACCGTCTCGGATCTGAGAATGATGCGAAGGGATGGTTGGACCAGATGGCCAACAACTACGCTTCTGCGGCTGGCATTAGCCTGTCTGCGCCCACCGCTGGCGGTGACGGCGGTGCTGCCGCGGGCGGCATGATGATGGATCCGGCTGCCATCGATGCTCTCACCAAGGACCAAAGGGCTCTGTTCAAGCAGCAGCTCGAGCTCTTCGCCAGGTACCTCAAGATAGACCTGCGCAAGGGCGACAAGGCTTTCGTTGGCTCCCAAGATGCGACGAAGGCTCTCCAGGCCCAGCTCGACCTGTGGAACGCCGAGCACGGCGACTTCTACGCGGCTGGCATTGAGCCCCAGTTCACTCCCCTCAAGGCTCGTGTCTACGACTCGTCCTGGAACTGGGCGCGTCAAGATGCTCTCACCATGTACTACGACATTATTTTCGGCCGCCTGAAGGCCGTCGACCGTGAGATTGTCAGCCAGTGCATCAACATCATGAACCGTTCGAACCCGCTGCTCCTCGAATTCATGCAGTACCACATTGACCATTGCCCGACTGAACGTGGCGAGACCTACGAACTCGCGAAGGAGCTTGGCCAGCAGCTGATCGAAAACTGCAAGGACGTGCTCAATGTTCCTCCCGTCTACAAGGACGTTGCCCTGCCCACCGGCCCTCAGCTCGCCATCGATGCGCGTGGTAACATGAACTACGCCGAAGTCGCCAGGCCTAGCGTTCGCAAGCTCGAACACTACGTCAAGGAGATGGCTGAGGGCGGCAAGCTTTCCGAGTATGGCAACAGGACCAAGGTTCAGAACGACCTTCAGAGGATCTACAAGCTCATCCGCCAGCAACATAAGCTTTCCAAATCTTCGCAGCTGCAGATCAAGACCCTCTATAGCGATGTCATCCGCTCTTTGTCTATGAACGAGGGCCAAATCATTCCCGCGGAGAATGCCAAGGCCGCCGGCGGCCGCCGCAAGGGCCGTTCGGGACGCGTCAATGGCTCCAACAAGCAGGGCAAGGTTGAGACCATCCCCTTCCTCCACCTCAAGCGCAAGGATGAGCATGGTTGGGAGTATAGCAAGAAGCTCACTGGCATCTATCTTGATGGTCTTGAGACGGCCGCCAGGGATGGTGTCACCTTCCAGGGCAAGAACGTCTTGATGACTGGTGCTGGTGCTGGCTCTATCGGTGCCGAGGTCCTTCAGGGCCTGATTGCTGGTGGTGCCAAGGTTGTCGTCACTACGTCTCGTTTCTCGCGTGAGGTCAACGAGTACTACCAGGCCATGTACTCGCGCTACGGCGCCCGTGGCTCTCAGCTCATCGTTGTTCCTTTCAATGGTGGTAGCAAGCAGGATGTCGAGGCCCTCGTTGAGTACGTCTACGACGATAAGAAGGGTCTCGGCTGGGATCTCGACTATGTTGTTCCTTTCGCCGCCATTTCCGAGCAGGGTCGCGAGATTGATGGCATTGACTCCAAGTCTGAGCTTGCCCACCGCATCATGTTGACCAACGTCCTCAGACTGCTGGGTGAGGTCAAGAAGCACAAGGCTGCCAACAACTTTGAGACTAGGCCCGCCCAGGTCATCCTCCCTCTGTCGCCTAACCACGGTACTTTCGGTAACGACGGTCTCTATGCTGAGTCCAAGATCGCTCTGGAGACCCTCTTCAGCAGATGGCACTCCGAGAGCTGGGGCAACTACCTTACCATCTGCGGTGCTGTCATTGGCTGGACCCGTGGTACTGGTCTCATGAGCGGCAACAACATCGTTGCCGAAGGCATTGAGAGATATGGTGTCCGCACTTTCTCTCAGCAGGAGATGGCTTTCAACCTGCTTGGTCTCATGTCGCCGTCTATCGTCAACCTGTGCCAGGTCGAGCCTGTCTGGGCTGACCTTAACGGTGGCTTCCAATACCTGCCTAACCTGAAGGACCTGATGTTCGACCTTCGCAAGGAGCACACTGAGACTTCGGAGATCCGCAGGGCTGTCACCAAGGAGACTTCGGCCGAAAACAAGATTGTCAACGGCGAGAAGAGCGAGGCTTTGTACAAGAAACACACTGTCCAGCCTCGTGCCAACCTCAAGTTTGATTTCCCCAAGGTTCCTGATTGGGAGTCTGAGGTCAAACCTCTTAACGACAACCTCAAGGGCATGGTCGACCTCGAGAAGGTTGTTGTCGTCACCGGTTTCGCCGAAGTTGGCCCCTGGGGTAACGCCCGTACTCGTTGGGAGATGGAAGCGTACGGCGAGTTCTCTCTCGAGGGTTGCGTTGAGATGGCTTGGATCATGGGTCTGATCAAGAACCACAACGGTCCCCTTAAGGGCAAGAGCTACTCCGGCTGGGTCGATGCCAAGAGTGGTGAGCCGGTCGATGACAAGGACATCAAGTCCAAGTACGAGAAGCACATCCTCGAGCACTCTGGTATCCGTCTCATCGAGCCTGAGCTCTTTGGCGGCTACGACCCCAACAAGAAGCAGCTTCTCCAGGAGATCCAGATTGAGGAGGACCTTGAGCCCTTCGAGTCTTCCAAGGAGACTGCTGAGGAGTTCAAGCGCGAGCATGGCGAGAAGGTCGAGATTTTCGAGATCCCTGACTCTGGTGACTACACTGTCCGCCTCAGGAAGGGTGCCACTCTCCTCATCCCCAAGGCTCTGCGCTTCGACCGCCTCGTCGCTGGTCAGGTCCCGGCCGGTTGGGATGCCCGCAAGTACGGTGTGCCCGAGGACATCATCGAGCAGGTCGACACCGTCACCCTGTTCGTTCTTGTCTCCACTGCCGAAGCTCTGCTTTCTTCCGGTATTACCGACCCGTACGAGTTCTACAAGTACGTCCACATCTCCGAGGTCGGTAACTGTACCGGTTCGGGTATTGGTGGCTCCGGTGCTCTCAGGGGTATGTACAAGGACCGTTACCTTGACAAGCCGCTCCAGAAGGATATCCTGCAGGAGTCTTTCATCAACACCATGAGTGCTTGGGTCAACATGTTGCTGCTCTCCTCCACCGGTCCTATCAAGTCTCCTTCGGGTGCTTGCGCCACTGCTGTCGAATCCGTCGATATCGGTTACGACACCATTGTTGAGGGCAAGGCTAGGATCTGTCTTGTCGGTGGTTTCGACGACTTCCAAGAGGAAGGCTCGTACGAATTCGCCAACATGAAGGCTACTAGCAACGCCGAGGACGAGTTCGCCCACGGCCGTACTCCCAAGGAGATGTCCCGTCCCACTACCACCACCCGTAACGGCTTCATGGAGTCCCAGGGTTGCGGTATGCAAATCATCATGGACGCTCGCCTTGCCTTGGACATGGGTGTTCCCATCTACGGTATCCTTGGCTTCACTGCCACTGCTACTGACAAGATTGGTCGTTCCGTCCCTGCTCCTGGCCAGGGTGTCCTCACGACTGCTCGTGAGAACGCCTCCAGGTACCCCTCTCCTCTTCTCGACATCAAGTACAGGAAGCGCCAGATGGACCTCCGCCGCCGCCAGATCAAGCAGTGGCAGGAGTCTGAGCTCATGTACCTGCAGGAGGAGGTTGCGGCAATGAAGACCCAGAACGCCGACTTCGACGAGTCTGAGTACATTGTCGACCGTGCCGAGCACATTGAGCGTGAGGCCAAGCGCCAGGAGAAGGACGCCCTCAACAGCCTGGGCAACAACTTCTGGAAGCAGGACCCCAAGATCGCTCCTCTGCGTGGTGCCCTCGCCACTTGGGGTCTCACCATCGACGACCTGGACGTCGCCTCTTGCCACGGTACCTCCACCGTCGCCAACGACAAGAACGAGTCCGACGTCCTGTGCCAGCAACTGCGCCACCTTGGGCGTAAGAAGGGTAACGCTCTGCTCGGTGTCTTCCAGAAGTACCTCACTGGTCACCCCAAGGGTGCGGCTGGTGCCTGGATGTTCAACGGTGCTCTGCAAGTGCTGAACAGTGGTCTGGTTCCCGGTAACCGTAACGCCGACAACGTCGACAAGAACCTCGAGAAGTTCGATCTCATCGTCTACCCGAGCCGCTCCATCCAGACCGATGGTGTCAAGGCTGTCTCCATCACGTCGTTCGGTTTCGGTCAAAAGGGTGCCCAGGCAGTCGCCCTTCACCCCAAATACCTGTTCGCCACGCTCGACTACGAGACCTATGCCAACTACAAGGTGCGCGTCGAAGCTCGCCAGAAGAAGGCTTACCGCTACTTCCACGATGGTCTCATCAACAACACGATGTTCCGCGCCAAGTCCAAGGGCCCGTACGACGAGGCTCAACAGTCCAATGTCTTCCTCAACCCTTCTGCCCGCACCACGGTCGACAAGAAGACTGCCACCTGGGCCTACCCCGCCAATGTGCCCAAGCACATCCCCGGCGACAAGGACAAGACGGAGCAGACGCGCCAGATGGTCGAGAACTTGGCCAAGGCTACCGCTACGGAGAACAGCAAGGTTGGTGTCGACGTCGAGAGCGTCGACGAGATCAACATCGACAACGAGACCTTTGTCGAGCGCAACTTCACGCCCGCCGAGCAGGAGTACTGCCGCGGTGCTGCTAACCCCCGTGCAAGCTTCGCCGGTCGCTGGTCCGCCAAGGAGGCTGTCTTCAAGTCGCTTGGTGTCGCTGGTAAGGGTGCCGGTGCCCCGCTCAAGGACATTGAGGTCCTGAACGATGAGAACGGCGCTCCCGTTGTTACTGTAAGTTTCTATTATTCAGCGGCATAGAATGAATGTTTTACTAACAACTATCGCAGCTTCACGGCGACGCAAAGGCCGACGCCGATGCTGCTGGCGTCAAGGGTGTCACCGTCAGCATCAGCCACAGCGACAGCCAGGCAATTGCCATTGCTGTCTCGGCATTCTAGATGCGAGGCATACGCGATCTCCCAACGACACGAAAACGAAAATGATGTTTGTTTTTCTCATTGCGGCGCGCGCGTTTCCTAGAGGGAAATGCGCAAGCGTATGATTTTGAAGATCCAAAGAACTGTCTGGACTGGCGTTTTCTGCGTGCTTTTCACTGTTTCCTCATTGCTTCATTCGAAGATCTTTGAATGCTGATTTTTCTTTTTATGCTTGATGTATAATGCGGTACGCTTGCATTGTTTTGCTTAGCTCTACCTAGCTAGACGGAGGGATGACATTATTGACGGCTCGCCTGTTGCTCGTCCGCGACCGACATCGCGGCGCTGCGCTGGGCTGTTGCTGCTTTGGCGGCGCAGACGGGCCGGGTTGTATGTACGAGGGTCATGATGCACAAAATGCTAGATAGAAATGATTTTCTGCTCATTCGCTGTTTCTTGTTTTGGTGGTGATGGTGGTGATGCCGCTTTCGCAGGCTGCGGCGACAAACCAAGACACTGACTGACACCCTGAACGCCACCAAGAGATTCTTCGACCACCAACCCATCTCCTAGCCGTCTACACCTCCCGCGTAGCTCTCCTGTCTATCTATCTATCTATTTACCTACCTGCCTCCCTCCCTCCTCACATCACCCCACCACGCGCCATCGGCCGCGATAGGAGGAGCGAGATAGGCACCACGCAGCAGCAAACCGGGCAACAGTGGCGCGCGCAAGACGCATCGGGCACAACCGTATCCGACCACGCTGACGCAACGGCCGGGAAGGCCCGGGCTCCGGGCGGGCGACGACGGGACGCAATGACGAGCGGGGGAGGCCCCTGTCCGCTGCACCAGCACCTAGTGGTGTGGTGGCGGCGAGGCGGTGCTGTGCTGTGGGCGCGGGAGGGTAGGGGTTGAGTCTGGTTTTTTGGGCTGGGGTTGCGGGTGTGGCTGGCTGGTGGGGGGCGTTGTTGGGACTGTGCGTGCTTGCGTGCTTGCGTGCTTGCGGGCTTGCGGCAGCGTGCCTGGTGCCGTGCGGCGGGCGGGGTGGAGTGAGTGAGTGGAGTGCAGTAGGTGGGTGTTGAGGTTGGGGTTGGGGGCGGAGATGGGTGCTTGTGCTGGGGTGGATTTGTTTGGGTGGGTGGTGGGTGGTGGGTCTTGGGGTTGAGGTTGAGGCTGCGTTTGTCGTGGCCGTTTTTGAGACAGTGGGTGCGGTTGAGGTGTTGGGTTTGTGGTTTCTTATGGCTTTGGCTTTTGGTCCTGGCTTTGGGGTTTGTTTCTTCGTTGCTTGGGTGGGTTTGGTATGGCTGCTTGGCCTGTAGTTGGTTTTTTTGTCGGTATAAATGGCTTTGGTACTAAGTGCTGTAGGTGGACACGAGTATGTTATCTACGTTCTGGGTGCTGGCGGATTTTGCTGACAGTGGCTTGTAGAATCTTGACACGGGCTTTGAGCTGATGTGTTGCGCGGGACCAAACACCTTTGCGGTTTCATGACAGACTTCACTGAAGAGAAAATTGCATCGCGAATACACTTTATGTTTTTGTCCTGTACCACCTCTAAAGTGGATCAACTCAAACTGCAGTTTTGTTTATTTTTGCTAAATTCACTGTTCGAGTTCTTTTCCTTTTGGGCTTTACTGAGAATGGATCTGGCTCTATTTTAAAAAGACTGTGAGAACTCCAATCCGGCTTATCTTAGGTGCTTTCGTGTCTAACTCTACAGCTACATGCTAAATCTGTCACTCGTGTTAGTATTAGCTCACTTGAGATTTTATAGACAATGTCGATGGATTCACCAACAATTTGAGAGACAATGACAACAATAAGCAAGATTAGTTGGAGACAGCAGCACAAAGCACCGAATAATTTGTCCAGCCCTTAACTATATATCAAACTAATCTACTATACCTACAGAGTATATAATAATACTTAATAACATACGCATGTTGTTGGATTAAATGGTTGAAACCGTGCGAGTGAAGAGAGAACGCGGCTTGATTTTGAAAGAGTATCTAGCAGCGAGCTTTATATACATGAAGAGGTGGAGTAGTCATGTGCTCGCTTATAGAAAGTAACAGGGTGTTGAGACAACGAAAAAGCAAGGTGAATATAAAGAATAATGCATGAAGAAATGTGGTCTGATAGTCTAACACATGTATAAATATCGATAATTACTAGAATATTCTATAAGAATATAAAAATGAAAAGAATCGAAGGGTATAAAAACTACTCATAGAGGTACAGAGATATAAGTTTCTGAAGTGTAGAAAATATATCATATAATTTGTAGGAATTTTGTCATGTGGGGTGGGCAAATTATCCGGGGCTGCAGCACAATACGGCGTAGTAGGTATCAGTACAAGAAAGCCAAGGCTATGTTCATTAATTAAAGTTCTACGAACATTAACCTTCAAAGCATTGGATTTTCGTACAATGGGCATTACCATAAGCGTTAAGCCTGGGTAAAAAGGAATGTGATAACTTTTGTGGAATGAAGTGGGTATCAAAAGAAAAACGAATCTAGCCTCCCGAGCCCCTACGGCCGCCATACCTACAAGTTCTAAGAACTGCCGCCAACCAGGTCTTTTACATCTCTTGTTGTCAAGATGCCTCGAAACCCCGTCTCTTAACTTGCTTGGTACACTTGGAAGCTTTTGAACTCGAAGTAGGCGTTCGTAAAAGCATCCGGATTCTGCTGCACGTAGGTCTTGCAAGACCCTGGGCATGAGTCCTGGTCGCTGTACACGGCCTCGCTGCCTGCCCAGTCGCCGCACAGAGCAATGTTCGCGATGATGCTTTGGTTGCGGAAATGCGAGCCCATGTCGCAGTTGGTGCTGGGGAAGTCGGCCATGGCTTCGCCCCAGGTGCTCGGATCGGGCGCCGTGCCGTTGGTGATGTCGTCGGGCACCTCGTCGCGTCCAAAGAACCAGATTCGGATACCCTCGTGACGCATCTCCAGCGCATAGATGCCGCCGCCGTTGGCGTTGAAGCCTTTGCCCATGGTGTTGCTGCCACCTTTCACACCGCATCCAGCATTGCTGTTCGTCTCGTTCCAACAGTTCTTTGCGAGAACATTGCCCGTCTCTTTACGCTTGACGTTCATCTTGCAGTGGTTGGTCGTGTGCAGCGTCGACTGCACCTTGCTATTGGCGATCTGGTTCACGCCCTCCATCATGTCGATCTCTCCATTTTCTGGCCAATTGTCCGGATCGCTGAGCCAGAGCGCAGGCCAAGTGCCGCAGCCATAAGGCGTGTGCACTATGTCGAAGATGAAGAGCCCGTCGTCATACTGATTTTTGGACGTGATGCGCACGGAACGTCGTCCGTTGGAGGTGTCGACATCGGAGGTGGTGTCGACCTTCATGACCGCAGAGCTGGAGCTAGCATATGTCAAGTTGAGCCACTCCGCGCCGGCAGAGTCAACGTATCTGGGGTTAAGTTAGCCTTGTCCTGGTGAACCCATAGAGAAGTACTTACTGTACGAAGCCGTTGGTCGGGTCCGCATCACTGAAAAAGTTGAAATTGTCAAAGAAATCACTACCGCCATCTGGATCGCGTTTGTCAGTCTTTGAGATTCATGTACAAACAGACAAAGTGCGACCTTACAGGTATCTTTCAGGGAGTAATTCAGCTTCTTGTAGTCTGGGTAGGCATTGTTCTTGACACCGAAGTATGCACCACAAATTACGGCAACTATAATAGCAGCGACGGCAGCGCCGGCAAAGATCTTGACTTTCGTGCTCCAGTACTTTGGATTCCACTTGGGGTGGGATTTGACCGGCTCTTCCATGGCGGCGGGCGAGGCAGCAATATCGGGAGAGTACGGGGGAGGCTGGTCTGCGTAGGGCGGCGCGGAGTGTTGGAGGGGAACCTGGGACTCCTCGTACATATGTTGTTGGCGCATGTTTGGATTATTCAGCCGCCGCTTCCTGAAGCTGCAGGGGCGTTGAAGATCGTCGACAACAACACGAAGATGCAAGGATCAGGGCTAGGTGGTACGCGCCAGGGCTCCTTATAGGCGACGATAACAATGGATGCAGGGACGTGTCAAAGCGTCAATGGCGGTTCATACAAGGAGAAACAAAGGTAAGAATGCAAATGGTTCCGTGTGGGGTTGAGCGGGAATATAGCATTGCGAGCGAACGCCTGACCCTAGACTCTGGCCCTGGGCCAAAAATAGCTGACGAGCCTTGGTTACGTAGGCATACGGCGGCAGGAAGGAAGGGAGTGGAGCCACAGAAAGTGCTATGGCAGATTCGTTGATCGCTGACGACGTGATGCGTGGAAGCGGGATAGCGGATGGAGTGATGCAAAGTTCGATCTTATCGACAAGCCTTCTTTGGGGTTGACCGAGGGCTGCAATGTCCGCTCCGGGATCCCAGCGCCCGCCAGCCTCCGCGTATACATGCGCTTGTCTCACTTGTTGGCAGACGCGTACGTACGCCCTACTGGGGGAAACAGCAGGCCTCTCTGAAAATTCGTGATAGAACATACGTTCCGTTCACGCGTCAAGCTTTGTGACGGCGAGGCGTTGAGGCTGTGAGACGGCTCGTCCGCTCGGCAATGGACCACCGGCTGCTCCGGGTTGCCGGTCCGTGAACCTCCGAGGGACACAACACTGAACGATGCTCACCGCACGCCCTTTATCAAATGCCTAAAAGATAATTGCTAAAGGCTCACCGGCGCCGGATCAGCTAGTATGTATTGCTTCACCTCGTATTTATGCTAGTCTGTAGTCTGTACTCACTTTTTCATCTGATCGTCAAGACTCTACCCTTTCCTTCCTAGTCGGCCTCCACAACACTCAACCACTTGTCTCGCTTGAATAAGGTTATTTGACCGAGACCCGAAGCCTATGTAGTACTTTAATTCAGCCTTCCAAGTTGTGGTTGACTATGATGTAGACAGTGTGCTTGATGTCGCACTGACAACATCGATGTAATGATTGACAATAGCAAACTTGAACTAGAAGAGGTCTCAGAGTATGCCGTTCGTTCTGATAAAAAAAAAAAAAATTCGGTTGTCTCTATTCATGCACAAATGTGCGCGACATACCCAGAATACCCACCAACTTGTCTACACGAAGATGTTCTGCGCATCTTTATTCACAACTACATTTTCAATTCTTTTCTAGAGTTAACGATATCCCAATACCTAAAGTAATGTGAGTAACCTCTGCTCGAGTCATTTCCCCAGAAAATTCTCAACAGCCGGATATACCCTTGAACAATTTTACCATCCGAGCCGTTGAAGCGAATCCAACGCTTCTTCTTACTTCTCCATGGAAAAGTCAGTTCTCTTCCCAAATCCTCTCTAAAGAGCAGTTTTAACGTATATAAGTACAAGCGCCAACTCAACTCTCCATCAATTTGTAGGAGTTCGCCTCCTACAACCGCCTGGCTAGCTCAATCGGTAGAGCGTGAGACTCTTACCATTCCTTCGATAGAAGACAATGATCTAAGGCATCTCAAGGCTGCGGGTTCGACCCCCGCGTTGGGCTCAATTCCCAATTATTCTTTTTGCATTTGAAATGGTGGTTGTAGCGCCAATTTTCGTTGCTGGGGGCCGAATGGAAGATTTTTTGGTGGTGAGAAATTGACCGATGTTCAGCCGGCCCACGGTTTTCTCCCGGGCTGGCCCTCAACCGCAACTTAGCCGTGGCATCACGTGTATTTTTGCTTCAGTCAAGTATGGCGCGACATGGCTGATGAAGGAGAACAATTTGTGGTCCTCGGTTGAAAATGATAAGCAGCAACTCAGCGGTAAGTTTCCATCATAATATCGAGTCCTTTTTACGGCACAAGCAGATTGGACTACCAATTATCGTTCCATCAATGCTACACTATCACACTAGGGATTCTTTTCTCGGACGAGTTTATCGCAACATCTTTTTTAATGTTAAATACAAGGCAGTGGACCATAACCTGTTCATGCCTGCCCAACAATTCTCAGGACAGAGAACGATAGCGCCAAGCATCAAAGCAGTAGTGATGAGAAGATTTATGCAAGGTTTACCAAACAGTGTCTAGCATGAAGATGTCATGTTACTGGCTTAGAAAGGTAATAATCTTATTTACAAAGCTTCATCGACCCCTACTCGCCAGAGGGACCAGCCAGAGTCGTACCCAAGGCAGCAGCAGTGCCAAAGTTAGGGGTACCATCCGAGTTCCAGTTGACCACCTGCGCCATCGTATACCTGTTACCATCGCAAGCACCGGTGCTTATGCTAGTCGCGTGGTACACATTCCAGATCTCGGTACCATCGGGGCTGTTAAAGAAGCTATTTCACACAAGGTTAGCCCCCATCGCGGTACACTTCCACAAGTGCTGAGAAGACTTACCCGTTGTGGCCGGTGCCGTAGTTCTTGTTCGCGGAGCTAAAGACGGGGCCCGTCTTCGTCCAGCTGGCCGCCAACGCCGGGTCGCCCGATCCGTTCCACGTCAGCAGGCCCAGCTGGTAGCTTGCGGTCCAGCAGTCGCTGGCCGAGTAGGTGAGGTACGTCGTACCGCCGTGGTACATGGCGGCCGGGCCCTCGTTGACGGGGTTGTTGACCGTCTCCCAGGACTCTGTGGGCTCGGAGAGCACTTGCGAGGTGCCAATCACACCGGGCGAGGTCAAGGGCGCGATGCACAGCGACTGCAGGCCGGCGGCGCTGAAGCATGACCATACGAAGTAGTTGCCCCAGTCGGTGAAGCGCACAATGGAGCCGTCGATGCCCCAGACATTACTCAGCTGGGCGAGGTAGCTGAAGTCGTCCCATGGAGTGGCGCCACCTGATGGAATGTTAGTGAGATACCCTGTCGTGATGGAGAATGGAAGCATACCCTCGAGTACGTGAGGTCGTTGAGTACCGAGGTCGTCACTGGCACCTGCAGTGTAGTAGATGTACCATCTATTAAAGAAAGTATTGTAAGTGCTCTGTTTATTATGAGTTCAGGGTCTGTTGCACTTACGTTCCATCGAAGTAGTGCAGCTCAGGAGCCCACACATTGCAGCAACGTGACGTGTTCGTGTCCGTCCAGACCGTTTTCGTTTCACCAGTCTTCAGGCCCCCCAACGTCGTGGCGCGCGTGATTTGAAGGTCCGTCCATGTAGTGGTCATGAGGTAGTAGTAACCACCACTGTAAGCGATGTGCGGATCGGATCCGTCTGTTTCCTTCAGCGGGTTCGTGAAGTCGGCGGCCTCAACGAGGGCGGTATGGGCCCAAAGGGCCCAGGCGATCAATGATAGAAAAGACACTTTCATGACTTCAGACCTGCTGCGAACAAAAGCAGGAATTCCTGATGGCTGAAGATTGGAACAAAAACACTTGAGGGACTGAAGCTTTATAACTAAGCAGAGGATAAACGGCAAAGAATATATTAATACTACCTAGGGATAACAGCCTAGTCATGACAGACTGCCAATCCCGCGAATCGGCGGCTGTAGCGATTGTTTGACACGGCGGAGTCTGCCGAACGCTATAGATGTCGCCGAATGCTGTTAATGCTGGGGCTCGTTTCGGCAACAGCGGATTGGCTCAGATGAAAGGATGCCGATTGAAGCCGAGCACGAGCCAGAAGGTCAAGCGCTGTGGCTTGGTATCCTTCCATTACTGTAGTAGGAAGGGACAAAGTGCCGAGGTTGATCAGGGGTTGTGTGGCCTAAACCACCAGAAGGTAAGACAGGAGGCGGGAACAACTGCCGTAAGCGAGTGGTTATGCTTATGTTTAGGCTTGGGCGAGGACACGACCTTCCCCGCAATTTAATATATTCGCGGAGAAAATCGTCTCCTACCCAAGCAATGCAAGCGAAGCGGGGCCGCCAAGATCCTGGCGTGTCTTGTACTGGAAGGGTAGAGGTCAGTTGATCTGTTGCCTTTTCGGAGCCTATGTTTATAGAACTAGATCTTTTCTTGTTCTTTCCGACGATCGCGATTGTTGATCTCCCGTTTCGATCGTGAGATATTGTCGAGGAGCCATCGAGTGTTCACCGAAGAAAACTGAAACTGTCTCGAAACCACTGTTTCGCAAACCCCTTACCCACTGTTGATGGTGTGAAAGGAAAACAGCGAGAAGCATGACAAACACACTTCCGATATCGGTCTCGCGGCGACAAAAGTCGAACGACATCGCTATGAGGTTCTGGCCAAAGGATTACAATGAACAGTGCAATTAGGAAAGGGCAAATGGTTCTGATGGATATCGGACCGGAGCACCTTCGGGACGATAAACAAGGAGACCGGTTCCAGAACCCGCAGTGTAACAACTGGCTTTAAAAATAGTATCGAAAAGTCGACAATCATGCATCTTGCAACCTGATTAGACAACTCATGCGTAGAGCCATCGAGATCGAGCCCCTGTAGAACGCACAACTTTGGTCACCTTTGGCACCGTGAGTCGCTGTGGCTCGGAACCACGCAAGCCTCTCCCGCACCAGATTAAAATCTCTTTGGTGTGCCAAGGCCCCATGTTTCTTTTTTCTTAGAAGAAGTGATCAGTTCGAAGTTCTTCCTCTGTCAGTGATCGCGGTATCGACTCTTCAACCTGTCAATGGTCGGAGTAGCCTTGAGCCCCTGGAAGATCTTCTCTGAACATTAACATCGCCTGCGTACGCTGAGACATGTCAATCGCCCAGATCAGCAACAGTCGCATAACCTACCCGAAACTGTGCAAACCCTTCTCCGTCTGCAATCTCGCTCCAGACGCTCATTCATCCATCTGCCACGCATACTCCAAGTTCGCCCTGTTTGCTTTTGCGTTTCTCGCCTTGAACCATTGCCTCTCAAACCCATTACTGCGATCAACACCATCCCACCGGTGTCCAGGACGAATGCCGTATCTATTTGGTTCGAAAGCGCCTTTATACAACGGCTTCCCCGTGCGGCTTTTAGCATCCTTCTTCTTAGTCAGGAACGCCATCGCTGGATCTGCCCAGCGCTCTTGTTCCTTAAGCTCGTCATTCATCTCCACATCATCGGCAGTCCGCGCAACAGGCATATATTTAGCGTCCTGAAGCGCTTGTCGCCTCGCCTCTTTTTCTGCTCGTTGTACATCGCCCCGGGCCTCCTCCTCCTCACGTGCTTTTTTCGCTGCTGCTTCATCCGCAGCACGTCGCGCTTCCGCCCTCTTCATAGCCACGTTTATAATGCGACCGCTTGCATCACGATATATCGTCTCATTTGCCGCAGCGCCGGCTTCTTTCATCGCAGACCGCATATGTGCTTCTTCCTCCTTCTGGCGTTTCTGAAGCGCGGCCGTGACCTGGGCAGCTGTTTGTAATCCTGCTTGTGCACCAGATTCCATGACGGGCGTGGGGTCTTCGTCGTCAGCATCGCCCAGGGCGCGACTCTCGGCAGCGGCGGAAGCGATAATGGCATCGGCTGCAGCCTGATCTGCATTGCCAGGTGTAGCGCCACCAACTGATTTCCAGGAAGATGTTTTCTTTTTGCGAAATTCGGTGCTGCTTCCAGACACTAAAGAACGTTAGTAAGTGTTGATAAAGTGTGTGCAAAAACCAAAATATAGACGTTGACAAGCCCACATGACAACAAAAATAGCAAGTGAAAGTACCTGTCATTGGTGTATCTTCATCCTCCTGCTGATTAGGGCCGTTATCCCAGCCCATCGCGTCATCATCGGCGATGATGAGACCTTCATCTTTAGCGGCCTTGTGCTTGCGCTTTTGCTTTTTGGTCTTCTTCCCTGTCGAAGGGTCGGCGTTGAGATAGTTCTTCGCTAGGTAGTCTGCGAGCGACATGGGAGACAGCGGGCAAGGTCGGCGCGAATTCGATGACAAGGCGAGGGTTCGGGCGGAAGCGAGGAGGATGGGACGCAGAACTGTGAGGGCCTGGTGGCGCAACAGAAGAATGAAGAGGGAAGAAGAGCCTGTGGTGGTGGTTGCGAAGACGATTTGCCAATGTGTAGCACTTGCATGTGAAGGAGATGTCGCTGGGCGTCACTGCAAAACCGTCAAACACGCCAAGACGGGGCGGGAGGCTGCCTTGATCACGTGTAGCTCCTCATTACCCCAGCCGCGGGTGCCTACAGAAGGCACCCACGTCGCCATAGAGATCGAAAAACATCATGGCTCCTCGCTCTGAAGAAGCATGGGCATGGTTTGCGGCAGTATATCAGGCCGTGCAAGAGATACCACACGGCCACGTCACATCATACGGCCACATTGCGCGACTGGTGGGAAGGCGTACGTCCAGGCGACTCTGAACGCGATTATGATGCAAGGTACTGACAAGCACCTCATCGAGCAGCTGAATGTCCACGGTACGTGCACTGCCTCGTTGGATGACTGGAATGGCCTAGACTGACAGGGGGGCAAGCCAGGTGGGCGTCTGTCTAAAGCACCTGCCCTCGCCGAGCGCCGAAGGCAGCGAGCAGGACCCAGAGTGGCACAGCGGCAACGTCCCGTGGCAAAGAGTCATCAACTCAAAAGGTTGCATCAGTCCGAGGTGCGGTGCCTGAAAGAAGCAACCCTCATGACGTGCGCCATGTTGCTGACCTCATCACAAAGGGGCCCTGGGGGGGCGGAGCGTCAGGCCGCAGCGCTGCGTGCGGAGGGAGTCGAGGTAACGCGTGGGCACTTGGGCGAGTATTTCATCGACTTCTCGGCATATGGATGGTTTCCCGACATGCTGCCCAGTGAGGCAGCAGACGTCGAGGGGTAGTGGATGATTAGGGATCGGAGGAAGGGTGGGGTGGGGTACGTCTCTTGCAGGCCGGCCGAGTCCCGAGTCGCTTCGCGATTGCGGAGGATCGGCTGCAGTGGCACCAAAGTCCGGCGCAACAACAAGCCGTTATCCGCACGTTATCGAGCGCGGTAAGCCTCATTGCGACATCATCAAAGGAAGCCTGCTGTTCGACCCATCACTCGCGACGCCGGTCGCCGTGAGGCTGCCCCACCGGCGTCAGCGCGGTTGCGCGCCCTCCGCGCCAGCTGCCGGCACGTCCCTTGTCCCTGGCGTCCGGAGTAGTGGAGCATGCCAAAGCAGGGCCTCGGGGGCTACGGGGTGCCAGGCTTGCGCCAACGTCCTCATTCTCCTATCAGCGGCCGTCAGCCACGACCGTGGGCCTTGATGCGGGCGCGATGCGGTAATCGATGGCTGGTCCCGTGGCATATCCGGTGGTTCTTATCTGCCCCCCCCTTTGTCCTAAGCTTAGAGCAACGGCCTGACCCATACATAAACAGCAACAAGGTGCTCTGTCTTTGTCTTGCGTGCCCGTGTACTTTATCGCTTTGCCTCGAGTCCTCGTTGCTGATCCGACTCTGCCTTGCCGCAAACATCGCCAGCACGACCGGAAGTCTCCGCATCTGATTCGCTCCATCGTTATTGCCTGTTTCGGACAGCAAAAGGTCGGGCCAACAAGTGACTCAGCCTCCGACTCGTCACCCGGACACGGCCACTTGACTTATAAAACAGCTACCTCCTCTTCACCTGCCTGTTCCCCCTACTCTCCCTTACACCACTTGCTTCAACCACGCTACACCTACAGCCTCCACTTCCACCTCATCTCTCACCAACTTGCCCTCACTCAAGCCGCTCGCTACAACCAATCCACAACCCTTCACCACCATGGCTACCGAAGAGACCTTCAACGCCGGCGACCTCCGTGGCGCTTCCGTTGACTACCAGCGCGACCACGAGCAGAAGCACAAATGGGCTTTGGGCCAGGCCTGGGGACCTGGCCGGAATATGGAGGCCCATGGCCGGCCTATGCGCGTTGGCAAGCAGTAAGCTCCTTTCAACCACCCGTGTCCAACGTTGCGCTAAGTGTATACACAGCCCAGGCGATCGCCGTGACGTGGACCACAACCTTAGCAAGTCGCGGAAGCATCGAGACATCGACACCGAGCAGTACCTTAGCGGCGACTCGTCGACAGAAGAGGAGCCAATCGAGGCATCAGCAGCACCAGAACCCGACGCGGACATAACATATTCATACGACGCGGCACAGGGACCTGGACATGGCAGCCAGATCCTCAGCCAGGCCCTCGTCCAGGCAATCGAGCGGTTCGAAGACCGCCAGACACACGAGCTGGTCAAGGAGGAATACGAGGTGCTGGGTCCGAATGGCGAGCCTCTGACGATGGGCGGCAAGGGCAAGAAGTCTGCCGGCAAGGCTGCGGATGACGACGAGTACGAGTTTGTCTGACGGAGTGACGGGGAAGGATACGATGACAAGGGTGCGCAGATATCATAATACTCGGAATGTTTTTACTGGCGTTGGACGGGGGAACTGCATAGCGAGGGCATTCAGGAGAGAAGCTCCTAGGGAAATTGCGACGGCGCTTCTTGAGGAACTGAGGGGGCTCTTTGGATTCAAGTTGTGTGGCAGGGAATGGTTGGATGGGTCAGTGGCTCAGTATTCCCCATCAGTCTGCAAGCAGCTCAATACAAGATGCAACTAAACCTCAAGTCGTCGGACGATCGTCCAGATAAGGGCCTACGCGATAAAGCTCCCCATGCCAAGCCCCGAAGCGAGACGAACTCGAGACATGACGTATGCCGCTGCCCGTGGCACCATCCTGGCATCAGGGCACCCGACTACTGCGAGATGCAATCCAACCAGCGTCCTCATGCCCTTCCTTCCCCTTCTCATCTCCCATTCAAAATAAGCGCTAATGCCTTTGCCTTCGCTCCGTCGCTGAGCCCCAGAAACCACCCGTTTAGCGTCTTTCTCCTCTCCAACGGTCGCTTCACTCTCTCTCACCCGCATTCATCCCCAACATGACGGCCACTGTCCACAACCCACCCCAATCAAGGCCACCTCGCGCGCGATGGGTTCTCCATGTCCAGGCACAATTCTGGCGTGTCCTCATGCAAATTGGCATGAAGTTGCACCGCATGGCGCGACCACGGCCTCCAAAACCCGCCTTCACTCGCACCGTTACCTCGACCGTCTCTCCGCGCAAGGGCAAGTTCCGCTTGAACTTCTGGGTACCCGAGGACTATGATTCTCAGAAGAGGTTGAGGGACAAAAAGTTTCCTGTCGTTGTCAACTTCCACGGCGGCGGCTTCACACTGGGAAATGCGACAGACGATGCTCGTTGGTGTGCAACAGTGACCCAGGAGGTCGGCGCCGTAGTTGTCGGCGTGGACTACAGGAGGGCGCCAGAGCACCCATTCCCCACGGCAGTCGAAGACGGTGTTGACGCCCTCCTCTACCTTGCTGAGCACGCCGAGTCACTGAATGTCGACATTACGCGCGTAGCCGTTTCAGGCTTCAGTAGTGGTGGCAACATGTCGCTCACTGTTCCCCTGCGACTCCAGGGCGAGACAGTTCCTGAACCTCACAACGCCGAGACTCCTTACGGCATGCAACGCGCACCTGCCTCCACTGAAAATGTCCTCCAAAAGGCTCTGTCTGACGGTCGCACACTCGTCAATGTCCGCTCCGACCTTCACGTCAAAGCGGTTGTCGCATGGTACCCCTCAGTTGACTACACGCAGACTCGCGCACAACGTCGCATGACCTGCGTTCGTGCCGACCAAGAGTTGCCTGCCGTCTTCACCCAGCTCTTCGACGAGTCGTATCTGCAGCCCCCAACCATGGACATGGCGAACCCGTACCTATCCCCCGGCGTTGCGCCAAAGGCCATGCTGGCGGGTCTCCCAGATGACATCATTCTCTTCACGTGCGAATGGGACATGCTTCTGGCGGAAGGAGAACGCTTGCGCGACAGGTTGCAGAACGAGTTGGGCAAGCGCGTCGTCTACGAATGCGTCCCCGGCGTCCCGCACGGCTGGGACAAGGCCCCGAACCCGATCAAGCCAACTCCTGGTGTTCAAGACTACTATCTTCGCGCGTGCGCGGAGCTGAGGCGCGTGCTGCATGAGGAATTGCCACCGTCGGCGTTGGAGGCGGGCGTCGGTACAAGTGGCGGCAGCCACAGGAAGAGGAAGAGTGTTGTCAATTAAAATGTTTGCTGCTTTTTTCTTATGCTAATTGGACCGGCTGTGCAGACAAAAAAAAAATGCGTCCTTTTTTCAGTGAACGTTGCGCGCAACGTTGTATCTTGAAATCGGCACTGGCACTGGCAAGGCGCTGGTAGGCGTCGTTGATCATTTGTTCCTTGATTATCGGTCGATTCCCATATGTATTTACTGCAACTTATATTCACGTATTTCCTTATACCACCCCGTGTCGCAAACCTAGACAGTGAGCATGTGCATGCGCCTCGGTTTCTAACAACTTCTCTTGCTGTCGCTTTCTTATAGTCGCATTCTTGTGGTTTCCTGTTTGTCTTTTTTTTCTTTCACTTTTTTCGCCTTTGGTAGCCCAAGGCTTTGTTTGAATCATGGGCCTATCCCATGTGACCTAACCTGCATAGGTATACGCTTTCTCTTATGCCCTTCTGCTTTAACATCATCATACTCCTCTAGGAAACCCTCGCACCCCTCTACACCGTACTCTTGTATCCCCGCAGAGTACTCTTCTGTTATACTATTACTTCCGCTCCAACGTATCTTTATGGAATACTTCAACACTCTCCTGACTTCGCATCCGCGTACATACCTCTACATAGTACTCCAATACTCTCATGTCTTTTCGGCTCCGATTATGTATACCGCCTTGCCACATTCACGCCTTATGCACAGCTACCTCGAACGAGTACTCGGTGGGTATGCAAAAATATGCATCAGAGGGCTAAGAGGTGGTGAGGCAGCCACATAGGATACTCACGGACACAGACGAGAACAATCAAGTCACATCCAGCGTACACGAGTTGTAACAGTTCAGAACGAGTGCATTATATACTATACTAGCTAGCACGAAACCTCCTCGGGGATAGTGGGCAAGCGCAAGCGTCGGGGCTTTGCCTTGCGATCGGACGGTCCTGAGAGGACGTTCGGGTGGTAGAAGAGCGGGTCGCAGTGCCCGAAGAAGACGTCGCCGTGTTTTTGTTGGAACACGCGCGGGTGGTAGAAGAGGGGGTCGACCATGAGACCGTTTTGGCGGGGGATGTGCTTCTTGGTGTGCTTGTGCACGTGGGTGTTGATCCACCTGACGAAGTGCATTTTGTGTGGTGGTTGGAGTGGTTGTGTCTGGATGGGTTGTCTTTGGAGAGGTTGGGTCTGGAGAGGTGTTAGTATGCTGCGGTTTCGCATGGTCTGGGGGTATGGTGAAGAGGTGGAGTGGCTTGATGAAGAAGGGAAGGAGAGGGTGGTGAATGGGTTGCTGGGTAGTGGAAGGCATGACAATGAGGGGGATAGGAAGGGGAAGGGCCGGAGTGAAGGAGATACCGTCAAAGGTACGTACAGTTTGAGTTTGGTTTGTTGGTTCTTCTTTTCAGATTCTTGAAAGTTGTGCCGTGGTGGTTTGATTTGGCGTCTTTTAGAGTCTGGAGAGAGATGTGTGTGTAGTGTACGGAAGAAGAAGAAAGGCATGAGGGCCACGGGGGTGATGAGAATTTTATACTCAATTTGTTTTCTGTCTGTGGTCCTGCTGGGCAGAAAAATGGTCGCGACCGAGGTTGGATGGATAGAATCGAAGTCTGGCAACTATGGTACGCAGGAAACGGTACCCGGATTTGATGGTCGACACACAATCGCTGGCAACGAGAACGTTCTGTCGTTTGCTGCTTTACCTGAGGAGTTCGAAAATGAAGGCGTTGGCGACTTGCTGGTTGATGGTCGAGTGCTATTCAGCAGTGTCTGAATATTTGGTACTGAGTATACGCGGTTTCCTCAACTTAGCACAACTTAAATCACGGTTCCGATTGTAAAATTCGTAAAATGCCCGCCCCTATTAACACCATAGAGTGCTACCGTAAGATACACTGGGTGAATGTATGTTGTTTATGGAACGAGTATTCTTGAGTTGGTGTTTTTGTAAAGGGATAATAATGAAACTGAAAAGAAGCGCGTGAAACCATCTGAGAAAAATACGGAACTTGGAACTGGACCATAAGACAGCCATCAAGCCCTTGTGACCTCAATATCAAGGAGAAGGTGGCAGGTAATCTCCTCCATATTCACGCCATTCGTTTTCCATACGGATGCTGGAAGTGTAGTCAATATCCTCTTCTGCCTGCTTCCCCGCCCGTCCACTGCGCTCCGGCTCAGCATCTTCGATCGAATGTGGCCAATCTTCAGTGAAGCTTGTCCAATCTTCGCTACGATCCCCAGTAGCTGAATCGACAGTAGAATTGTCTCTTAGGGTGGATAAAACGGCATCGTGAGATTCGGAACTTTGGCTGCATGCACCGACTGCTTCTTCGTCTTCTTTTAGTCCTTTTCCGCTTGGTCTTGAGGACTGACCAGCGGTCCATCGCAGAAAACCACGTAGTGGCGCCTTCTTCCTGGTAATTGGCTTCATTTTGGGCTTGACGTGAGTGAGGGTATCCACCATTGGGAGGGTTGTTGGGGGCTCGGCGACGTTGGGATTTGTTACTCCTACTATGGGAGGAGGAGGCGGTGGCGGGGGTACCGCAATTGGGTCCGTCTGCTTCAAAGACTTCTTCTTCTTCTCCTTGTTTGGCAGCGGTCCGCCGAGATGGCGGGGAAACCCGAAATCCATACCAAAATAAGACGAGATGTGGCGAAGACGGGGCGGTGGCGGCGGCGGAGGGACAGGCTCAGGCTGGGGAAGTTCTTCCATAGGCCACATGTGCATGGTAATCGCCATATCGGGTTGAACTACTGCCTCCCAGTTTTGAGCGAGGATGATTTCGCCATCGGGGCCAACAAGGTCGTAGTGTCCTTCTTGAACTTCTCGTCCAATAACGTCAACATGAAGAAAAGCTTGTTTAATAAGATCTTCCATTCCCTACTTATCCGTAAGTACCTATAGGGTTAACAGTATATTAACTGACGTACCTTCCGCGTCTTGCAGAAATTCCATGGGAAGCTGAACTTCCTACCCACCGCGTCTTTAAACTTAATAGGCGGCTTCGGAGGTTCAGGCGGAGGGGGTGCTTTAGCCGCTTCCTCAGCAGCAGCCTTTTCCGTCTCTATCTTCTTTAATTCTTTTTCGAGCTCAGCTCTCTCTGAACCAGGGTCTGTGGAGAGTGGCTCTAAGAGCGGTGGCTCTCGCTTTTGTTCAGTATGTCTCCGAAAAATTTCTCCTTCATTTCGTGGCAAATACGGTTGTAGTTTTCTATCCAATGTTTTGAGGCCCTCAGAAGACGGATCAGGAGGCAGTTTATCTGATTTTTTTGATTCGCCGCTTGAGTTGTCGTCTGATTGGTTGTTTATTGAATTCGATGACTCGCTCTTCGTATCGGCTTCATTGCCTGAGCTTTCCGGCAAAGAAGGTAATGCAAAAAGTGCTAGCTGCTCCTGGTGGCCGCCAAGGTGTTTTTGAAGTCGAGAGAATGGGATTCTTGTTTGACCGCACAGATGACACTCGGTCACTGGAGCAATCGGCCATTTGTTAGGTAGTTCCGCCCCAGCAGCAAAGTTTTCCGAAGAATTGACCGTATTGTGTGTATTCATAACATGATCTTCGAATTCTGAAAGAGACTGGAAGAGCATAGCACATTCGTCGTTGGAGCATCGCCAGGTTCGTTGATGAATTTGAAGTTCATGTTCATACCACTCATGCCGCCTTTCATAGAGCCGATTAGGCGTGGGACAATCTGAGAAAGTGCAAACATAAGGGCGTAGGTCGTTATGGATATGCCTTCTGAAATTGTTCATTTAGCTTCTTGAATATCTATGTAAAACAGATACCAACTTACTTCCATGAAAGATTGCTTCGGATAGAAATCATGGTGAAACAGTAAGGGCATTCGAAAGGATCTCCATTCTGCCCAACTGCTGGAAGTAGTGGTATCTTAAGTATTTTCTCATCACCCTCATCTGCAGACGTCGCGAACGAGGTTTGGGTTAGGCCAGATTCTGGGCGCTCATCATATGACAAGTTCAAAGCCGCCGGATGAGCACTCAATTTGACATTTCCTGGGAGTGATGAAGCAATAGTAGTCGGTGGTTGATGCTCAGTTTTTGTTTCCTCAGTGCTGACCTGGCCTAGGCTACGTTGTATACCGTACGCCAGTTTTTGATGATGTAATTCGCGATATTTGAAAAATTGACGGCGCCTGGAGATGGCCTTTCCCAACCTGTCCGCAATATCGTCTGTGGCAGTGGCCAGTTTGGATTTTACATGGAAGATATCATATGGTGTGTAGAATGACGTATCTGCGTCAGCTGAATTCATGATCTGATCATGTGGGGCAGGGTTTTGTATGGCCATGGTAAGACGCAACAGCATGGTAGTTGTATCGTGCGTACTGGTCATCAGTTGTCGTAATTCTGTGTTATCCTGTAAATCTTCGTTCTCTGGGTCACTGGAGTCCGAATCCGAGCTGGACTCAAGCGGTCGTTTGTCCCAGGGGATCACCTCTCCAGTTACAATGGCAATACCTTACGCTATGTTAGCTGATATCTCTACAGGTCAAGACTGGTTACGCCGTTTGAGCTGGACAGCAAATCCCGACCCTTAAAAAGGCGTTCATCAGTATGTCCAGTTAGAATTTGCATAGCTTTTCGCATGCCCTGATCATTACAACGGAAGAAACGTTACAAACCGTCAACGCTAAGTTTAACAGGCGGAAGCTGCGGAAGAGCTCGAACTTTGTAACCAGTTTTGACCGTAATCGATGGAGAGCTTTCTAACATCTTACAAGGAGGCTGTCCAAACGCCGCAACAACGTATGAACTTTGTGTTCGATATGAGACGCATCCCTCAATCGGTAATCAAGTGAGCTTCTGCCTCTGCGATGGGCACCTATATTACCGGCCCATGTTCGGAAACGGCCAGCTTCGTCGGCAACCTCGGACCGTTGAACCTGGTTGGTATAATCTTGGTCGGCGTGATGGAGCTGCGTACCCAATCCATTGAATTGCTGAAACAGTTTCGTGACAACGTCGGCTATAGTTTCACTTTCAGGTTCCGAATCTGACGCCAGTATCCTTTCAGTCATATCGGTACCGGGTTGTCATCGATTTTGAGATCCCCTACTTGCAAAAACGTCAGTGGAGACGGACAATGATATCGTTTTGCGTTCGAATGCCAGAAAGCTCGTAGAGGATTGATGTAGCAGCTCTACTAATATGAACACTACTAACAAATTGTAGGGCCAGAGGTTTGCTGATATCTCTTGGGTCGCTTTACCTTCTGAAGGCTCCTTGGGTGTTTTTAGTGCAGGATACTGTCTCGAAAAGCGAAGTCTTTTCAAAGAGAGTGATGAATGGGAGAGTGTAGTTATGGAAGGTGCTGCTGCTACCCCGCACCTTCCGTTTGATACCTAAAAATAGATCCCTGTTAACTACCTACGCGCAACCGGTCTTGCTGGTTCAACCCAACCGTTTGAGCTTGATCAAGCCTTCAACAGAGAAGACAGAAACGCCAACCACCCGACAACCCTTGGAACTCGGCCACCTTCTCCCTAGCAATGTCCGGAGTTGAAGTTGCAGGTCTTGTCCTCGGCGCACTCCCATTAATAATCGAAGCGATAAAGATATACGCCGATGGCGTTTCGACTGTCGAGCGTTATTTGAGATACGAGGAACCACTTCTTGACCTTTACTGGGCACTCGAGACCGAATACATCATGTACCAGAACACTTGTGAGCAGCTTCTTGATGGAATCGTGGACAGCAATACCGAGATGGCTATGTTGCTGCAAGATCCAGGCGGCCCGGCATGGAAGAAACAAGAACTGGAATGCATGGTAAAGCACCGGTTATCGCGTTCTTATCCCAGCTATGAGAGGGCCATGTATAAAATGGAATTGGCGGTTGATGGGATCAAAGGACTGTTGAAGCTTGGTCCGACCGGAGAGGTTGGTAGCCATCAGGCTCGCATGCTGCAATCCACGTCGATGCCCTCTGCATGCTGAATTTTATTTCAGGTCCAGATCAATAGCGAGAACGGGTTCAAAAAGGAGTATAAGAGGCTCAAGTTCAGTCTGAAAAAGTCACAGTACGATAAACTGGTGACCACAATTCGAGAGAACAACTTCGTCTTGGAGAAATTGACCCAGCAAAGCCTCAATCTTGAATCATCTCGAGCCACTCGACAATCCAAGAAGTCTCGTCCAAACTTCAAGGCTATCCAAGAATATGCTCGTAGTGTCTACGAATCCATACAATCCGGCTTAAAGTGCGGATGTTCAACGTCTCATGGCGCGAACTTGCGCCTAGACACCATGACAAAAATCGAAACTGGACCGGTTCGGTTCGATATCATCCTTTCTTACACACATAAGGAATCGGCCCCTGTCAAGGCGCCATGGAAGTTGGAGGCTATGGAAATTGGTCCGATAGATGATGTTTCCCAAGTCACTGAGACCGGCCCATTTCTGCCCTGTCACCCGAAACCCAACCCAAAGGACAAGAGAGTCAAATTCCAGGAAACAAAAAAGAAGGCCACCACGATCATAGCATCCGAAATGAGTAACCTCACTCAGATATCCGATCTTTGCGGAACTATATGCCAATTACAGCAACCTTCACAGGGAAATTGTATTGGTTTCCTTGTTGACAATTTCACAAATCAAAAGCTTGGGGTCTTTCGCCTTTCAACATCCGTCTATCAACAAAAGCCAAGCTCTCTTCTGCCTTTACGGCAAGTTCTTTCGCAATCACAGAGTGACCACGTACTACGCATCAGTGGTTTCACGCTGGCCAATAGAGTGCGCCTTGCCGTCTCGCTCACTTCAGGGTTCCTTCGGTTACATGGGACCCCTTGGCTTCAGGGAACCTGGGATAAAGATGAAATAGTCTTCCCCCAAGACACTTTGAAGAGGCAGTATGAGCGCTCTTATGTGTTTCCAAGGGATCTTTTTGAAAAACCAATCAAAACACAAAAGAGCAGCCGAAGCGACCTTCTATCAGATCTGGGCTTCCTCCTCATAGAAATTCTTTTTGGGAAACCAATGGATGTGCTAATTGACAGCATCAAGGAGCCCGGTGAAGACGGTAGCACTGCATCGAGATGGAAACGCATAAACAGGCTTGTCGATCATATTTCTTTTGAAGTCGGCACTGCGTATTCTAAGGCTGTTCATCGTTGTATTTCTTACGATTTCGGCAAGGATGTAACTGGTATCAGTGACGAAGACTTTTCTTATATCTTCTATGATCAGGTTGTATCTCCACTTGAAGATCTTTTGCAGGCTTTCCCTGTTATGAAGTAGAGTATCTACAGCTGAAAATGGAAACGTATGGTATGTTAAATGAGATACACGAACGTTTGCTATCTAAATTCTATACCAATTTCAACTTTGTACTAAGGTAAGAAATTAATTGGAGTGTGACTTTACAAACTCATAATTTTCTACGGATGCAGTATAATTTTACTTCTATAAAGTAATGTTCTGCATGAGGATAGATATCATAAAGCAGTACTTGCGAGTATTCTAATAACCACTCAACACGCCTTCGCTTCTACGAAATACTGACCAATGTCGGGATAAGAATGACGATCAGGTTGGCGAAGAACACCCTACCAAACTAGCCTTAATCCGTTTCAACTACCTACCAACATTTGCGCCACAAAACCTCAATAATACAGTCGTTGGTATGCACTACGATAGTCTACATTACATGTTCTCAAGAAGTGATTCATCTAGCCACAATTCCCGGCTCTAGATTTGTAGAAGAAGCAAGTAGTAGCGAGCATTTCAATCTACCTGGCGCTCACCGTCCAACACCGCTTCCACTCCTCTGTCAGCCGGCTCGTCTCGGATAACTTCTACGCCGGGCAGATGACCATGGATCCTGAAGTTGGTAGCCGCCCCAACGCTATTAAATTCAGGGAGTTCATGGAAAAGACGTATTCCATGAATCAACCCCGAGGACATGGGTATCTTGGTGCCTTACAACGCGTATTTTGCGGTGTTGAGGCGCGCCATCACCAAGCTGCGGCAGCCAGGGCCAGGAAGTGTTCGTGTTGATCGTCGACGTCGTAGTGACCGATAGAATGGGCTTTATGCGCGACAGGAGCAGAGTGAACACGGCGCTGGCGCGCGCGAAAGACGGTCTCGTGCTGGAGTATATAGTGGAGAGGCGGGAGGATTTGTATCCGCGCTGGTCATTGTCGTGGATGGCCATGGTGTTGATGCCACCTTCGTAGGAGCATATAAGCATGGTTGTACGCCCATAAATATTTAAACTCGTAGCTATATGACACACCTTCGCCGTTGCAGAGTACGACTTACCATGGGGACACGAATAAAAATATCTACACTGAAATATAAGAGGTTTACACGGTTCCTGAATCCATCAAAACGATTTGGCTATGATAGCTTGTGAACTTACCTACTTTACATTTGTATTTACGTTTGTTTGACGTGCTGCTCTCATATAAAAGATATATCGAAGTAAAACCATATGCGAGACTCCATCAACATCCCTCACCCAAATCCTATACAAAGAACCTACACCATACCACACAAACCCCAAGAACTCCACTCAGCAGTCACCACCCCAGCCATCCGGATCACCACCCATAGCCCTCTGCACACTATTCCACCCCGAAACACCTGCCTGAATAATACTAATCGCGCTATCAACATGCTGATTCCCGGAGCTAACACGCCTAGGCTGAGGATTAACAGGCTCCTCTTCAGGATCAAAGCAGCTAGCATCGCCCTGATGGCCCTCAAGCACCAGTCTCCGAATCAGGTTCGCATGCTTGCCGTACCACTCGTCCTCGCTGATGGTGGTGTACTGCTTCGTACCCGTGCCGTCGCCATTGGGCTGCGTGACCGAAAACGGCCAGTCCACGTTGACGATCGCCCAGCGCTTGGTCATGAAGTAGAGGATGGGCCAGGCGAAGATCCACAGGAAGGTTAGGTAGAAGATCCAGCGGATGTAGGTCGTTGTGCGCCACCGCTGGATCCAGTGTGTGCTGTAGATGTCGACGGCCCGTTCTTCGAGTGGGAAGAAGATCTTGATGTGTCCCCGGTAGTGCGTGCTGCGGATGAGGGTCTCTATGCGCGCGCGGATGGCTTGCTCGTCCAGACCGCTGACGGTGCGGGAGACGCGGAAGCTGGTACTTGGGTTAGTTTGCTGTCTTCAGGGATCTTGTTCAGAGTGAGATGAGTGTGAGGACTTACATCTTGAGCCTCGCGGGGCTCTTACAGTACTCTTCGCACCCTTCCATCAAGAGCTGGTCAGGGTCATATGAGTTCCCAACCTCCAAATCTCCTTTGTGTCCCTTGGCGACCGTCTTTCTAAAGCTGCCGCGGAAAGCTTTTTGGCTGGGTTCAACCACAGTTTGTTTGCTCCATTTGCTCGTCAGGTTTTGTCGGTTGGTGAGCAGATAAGGTCGGAGGTTCAGCATGATATCAAAATCGGTAATGTGCTTCTTCTCACGCTTATCGCCCTTACGCACGGTCTGCGTGTGGAAGCCATTGATCTGAACGACAGGGCGCGGGGGGAGGCGTGCGAGCACGGTATCAACGTATTGAAACAGACACTCTGGCTGCTCGTCGAGGATCTTGCTCATGCGCATTGTGGTGGCATGTGTGTTAATGGGCTTGCCCAAAGCATAATGACGGGCACTCCGCTCGATGACTGGGTACTCATCAACCGGAACGACAGTACTGGTAGCCCGAGAGTCGATCAAGGGCGCGTTTGCAGAATCGCTGTACGACGGCGGATCTTCAAGCTGGAGCGCATCATCGTGGTAGTCTCCGTGCGTGGTGTGCATGGAGACTGCATCATCCAGGCTCGGGTCGTCCCGGTAGGCAGGGAGTGGGGAAGGCTTTCCCATGATGTACTAAATTAGATAGGATATGGAAAACGAATGAAGTATGACGATGAGCAGAGAAAGGGCAATGAACGGAAGCTTGAGAATTTAAGGAGGAAAAGTAGAGAGCGAAAGCCAAGGTTATATGGGGCTCGGAAATGTGAAGCCCTTGCACGAAGCCACCAGGCAGCGACGCCTATTTGGTTAGTCTCTCGGCGCGGATCAGCGGATGAATTCTCTCCTTTGGGGAAGACGAGTTGATACGGAAATGGCACGAGTTATTAATGAACGCGACCAGGCAGAAGCAAGCCACAAGCGCTTGAGTGCGCGACCTGAGTGGAGAGGCGAGCAGGCACGGTAGGCCGTATTGGGAGCGGAAAACAGGTGATGGAGGAGGTTCAAGGGTCCGCTCGCGCTAAGATAAGGTTCATGCCAAGCTTGCCTTAGCGCGATAGAGAGATCCCGGCGTTCACCCGCCAACTTTTTGTCGGCATCGGCAACTGAGCTTCCAACAATGACCGACTGACTCTTCCTGATCCACGACACTGGCTTCTCTTCTTCTGTCAGTTCGCTACCTGCGCGCAGCCCCCGCGCTCCGACCCAATTCCCCCATATTATGGCACATCGGCGGTAGCAGCAAACACAGACCATTCCACGCCACCACCATCACCATGGCCGAAAGCACCTCCGCATCCTCCGTTCCGCTCTCCGCTGAGCCCCGCGCAGACCAGCGCGTGACTCACGAGGGCAGAGAATACACGACCATAAAGGAGGGTCTCGCATACATCCTGGTGCCGCCCAATGCCATCACCGAAGCGGACCCCAAGAAGGCCGGAAAGTACGAGGAAGGCGTCGAGGAGAAGCCGTCGGTGTTCTACAACCCGATCCAGCAATTCAACCGCGACCTGAGCGTGCTCGCTATCCGGGCGTTTGGCGAAGATGCGCTTGCGCAGAAGCAGCACAAGCACGATCAGCAGATGGAGCGGAACAAGAAGCGCAAGGAGCGGACGGCGAAGCGGAAGCTGGAGCAGGCGGAGAAGGAAAAGGGTGCTGAGGGTGGTGAGGATGGCGCGGAAGAGCAAAACGGACGTAAGAGACAGCGGACAGATGATACTGGTGCTGGGATCACGAAGGAGCCAACGGGATCAGCAGATGCGGCCGGCGCGTCCAAGGACGAGAGCGCCATGTTCGACGACTCGGTTACCAAGGACCAGGATATGCTGGCAGCCGATGGCGCCGCGAAGCCCGCGACGGAGGAGGATGCCTCGGCGACGAATGGCGCGCCCAAGGGGCCACGCTTCAGGATCCTCGATGCGCTCTCCGCTACGGGCCTGCGCGCGCTACGATACGCGCAAGAGATTCCTTTCGTGACATCGGTGACGGGCAACGATCTGTCTCCCGCAGCGACGGACGTCATGAAGTTGAACATTGCGCACAACAAGTTGGAGCAGAAGATCACGTCGGTGACGGGCAATGCACTGGCGCACATGTACCTGCATGTGGGACAAGAGGGCGTCGGCGGGCCAGGTGCGCGCTATGACGTGATTGACCTGGACCCGTATGGGACCGCGGTGCCGTTCCTCGACGCGGCAGTGCAGGCTGTCACCGACGGCGGGCTGCTGTGCGTAACGTGCACCGATGCGGGCGTGTTCGCCTCGACCGGCTACCTCGAGAAGACGTACAGCCAGTACGGTGGGCTGCCGCTCAAGGGGCACCATTCGCACGAGGGCGGCTTGCGCCTCATCCTGCACGCCGTGGCGACCGCGGCGGCCAAGTACGGTATTACTATCGAGCCGCTACTGTCCCTGTCCATTGACTTCTACGCCAGGGTGTTTGTGCGCGTGCGCAAGGCCCCGGCGGAGGTGAAGTTCCTCGCGGGCAAGACCATGATCGTGTATAACTGCGACTCGGGGTGTGGCGCGTGGACGACGCAGTACCTGGCCCGCAATGTGCAACATGAGGGCAAGAAGGGCTTGTACTACAAGCACAGCTTTGCGCAAGGCCCGTCGGTGCCGGCGCGCTGCCCGCACTGCGACTTCAAGACTCATGTAAGTACCTTTTTATATCCAGACCAAACCAACATCGACTAACACGCCAGCCATAGCTCGCTGGACCCATGTGGGGCGGCCCAATGCACAACCCCGCATTCATCGAGAAGATCCTCAGCTACCTGCCGGGCGCCGACAAGACGACCTACGGCACGACTGAACGGATCGAAGGCATGTTGCGCACAGCGTACGAAGAGCTACTGCCCGACACACCGAGCACGCAGCCGGAGCTCTCGTCGACGACGGGCGCGACCTCAACCGACACCGCGACGCCAACTGACGAGCTCAAGCTGATCCCGCGCGTGCCCGCCTCGGACCTCGACCGCCACCCATTCTTTTTCATCCCGTCGGACCTGGCGCGCATCCTGCGGTGCCAGTCGCCCAGCGAAGCAGCGGTCAAGGGCGCGCTGCGCGGCCTGGGCTACCGCGCCACGCGCTCGCACACCAAGCCCGGGACGGTCAAGACGGACGCGCCATGGGCCGTCGTGTGGGAGGTGATGCGCGAGTGGGTGCGGCAGCGGGCGCCGATCAAGGAGGGCGCCATCAGGGAGCTCATGCCGGGGTGGGGGGTGTGGCAGAAGCGGCGGGAGCTTGTTGTTGCGAAGGCGGCGGCGGAAGCGGCAGCGGCAGCGGCAGAGGGGGAAGCGAAGCCGGCTGAGGAAGCGAGGCCAGCAGGGGAAGCGAAGTCCGCAACGACGACGCCCGAAAACGGCGGCCGCAGGCGCTTGCCCTCCCAGGAGCCGGGCACGCCGCTGCACGAGCTCAAGGTCGTGTTTGATGAGCAGCTGGGCCGCGACGCGCGCGAGAGCAAGAAGCTGGTGCGGTACCAGATGAACCCGCGCGCGAACTGGGGGCCTATGGTGCGCGCGAAGTAGTTAATTTAGTTAGTTGCTCGTGGACGGGGGCGTGGGAAGAGGTGCTGTTGGTGTGTGTGTGGGTTTATTTTATAGAGGAGGAGGGAAATAAGGCGCTTGCGTGCGTGGTGAAGTAGGTGTGTAGGCGTGTACGCGCTGCCTGTCTGTTTGCCTTCTTGCCTGTTTGCTTCCACTGTATATCCATGCGAGTCAAAGAGTTTGCGAGGTGGTGTCGTGTGCGCCTATCTATGTAAACAGCAAAATACCACACACACCCTATCCTCACATCAGCACCAGCAGTAACTACCTACCTACCACGTAGTAGCACAATCTACGCACGTGGTGGTGATGGTGGTGGCGAGCCAGCGCCAGCACCAGCAGCACCAGCACCAGCACCACGGCAACGGGAAGCAAGCGCAGCCGCATTTGCATCCGCACCTGCATGTATCGAGTAGAGTAGAGCAGAGCACCTAGTTACGCAGTAAGGCTAGTCCATCACAGTAGGTTAGTGGTTCTGGGATCGGAGCTCGCTCGGTGCGTTCTAACTATAATACGTGGTAGAGTAGGTAGAGAAAGGCCAAGGGCACGGGACGCGGGGCGCGGGGCGGAGATGTGAGACATAGGTCGACGTCTTTGTTACGTCTGTTGCAAAGAATGGTGGGCGGGTGCGTGCATGGCATGGGTGGGGTGCTCCGTTCGGCGGTGATTTGCTGCGGGCTGCGGGTTTGTTGCTGGAAAAAGCGGACTACGTAGGTACGGAGGTAGATCTCGGGTCGGGTGTGCGGAGCTGGCTCCGACGTGGGTGGTACGGGCGGAGGAGATGGGGTTGATTAGGCTGGCTAGGTGGCTGATTGATGGTGTGCACTTGGCTGTCGTGGGGGAGGTTACGAGTTAAGAGCTCCTTCCATGCTTGACTGGGTAGTTGTTCTGGTATGCTGTACTGGCTGGATATAGGTACATAGGTGCGGGAGGGGGCGTGGGATGGGGGATGCCGGTGTCGGGAGTCTGTTAGTGCGAGGGTGCAAACAGCACAACACGACAATCTGCGCACGGGTGTGGGCAGATCCCTGCTCGCTCGCGCACTTGGCTGTGTCATGGTTTGGTAATGGTGAAGAAAAAATCGTCGCGCGTGTGTATGTGTGTATGATGGGATGGGATGGGATGTGCGCTGGTGGCAGTCATGCGGCATGCAATCAATCGGGGGTGATCGCCCATAGGTAGGTTACGGCGCACGGCTTACGGGGTCGTGGTTGTTTTTTTGCCGTGAAACAGCAGCAAAACACGGCAGACGTTGGACTTCGCGGTGTAGTGTACCGCCAAAAAACAAAACCGAGTAGTTACTACCAGTCTACCACGTCCCGCGGAGCTGGTTAGACGAGCCTCGGGGATTTTTATTGGTAGGTAGTCTAGGCATTGGTGCGGCAGACCGGGAATGCGGTAAGCAGCCCTGAGAGGGAATGTTTGCAAGCGGTTGGACGGAAGGCGGTGGCGAGGCTGCCCGGGTTCTCTTCCATGGATTTTCGCGCACGTCGTTCGCATCACAAACACACACGCTCGAAAAGACGCGCAGGACGCGCAGACGCATTATCATTCCCCGGCTCGGCAAAGCAGCCGATCTGGCCACCCCCGGCGCATCGACCACCATGTGCGGCAGCGATCGCATCGACGACGTCGATGACAGCCACCTGCTCACCACTTTTCGCCCTGCTCCTTGCTCCCTGGGAAATTTGAGTTGGCGGTAGCGCGGCGACGGACTGGTCGTAGTGTACTCGGTACATTGAAAGGACGTCATGGAAGAGGAAGAGCTAGCAAGCGGGCGGCAGTGGCGCGCGGGACGAAGCTCCACTTGCGGCTCTGCTGCTTGAGGGGAGAAAAAGACGCTGCTGAAAAAGCAGCCAAGGTCTAGACACGTCCGGCAGAAATGCTTCATCAGCCAAGGCGGATGGCACATGTCATGGAAACGTCAGATGGTGAGCGGATTGGGGCAAGTGTCAACAACTCCGAGATCTTGCATCTGAGATGATCCCTGGCCTGCCCCCCCGCGTAGTGCGCCCCAAAGCAGCCGGTCGTGAAGTCACTGCCAGAATGTCGCTTCCCGTCCCGGATGCCTACCTACTCGACACCGTCTAGCCATGCAGCTATAAAACCAGCCGGCCCCAAAACACCCCTCTCTCTCTCCTCATCCGCCGCTGTCTTGAACACCCTCTCTCCACAATGATCACCAAGACCGCCTTCACCGGCGCCGCCGCCCTGGCCTACCTGGCCGCCGCCGCGCCGGCCCCCGCCCCCGTCCCCGACGTCCCGGGCTACACGGGCGCCGACGCGCCCTACATCACGACGCCGCAGCCGGCCGCCAGCGTGCTCGCCAGCGTCTTCGGGCCCGACTCGCAGGTGGCGGCGACATTGACGGCACCGACGACGGAGCCGACGCGCCGCAGCAGCGTCGTCACGGGCGCCACGTCCCACGGCCCCTACTCCGGCACGCCTACGACGACGGGCGCGGAGCAGGCGCCCGGCACCGTCGCGCCCAGCGTCCCCGCCCTGCCCCCCAACCCCACGGCCACGTACTACAACGCCAACGGCGAGCTGACGGAGCCCGAGCCCGCGCCCTACGTCCCCGCCGGCGGCCTCGGCACCAACGGCACCGAGCCCCGCTACATGGTCAACTCGGACTTCGACTTCGAGTCGATCCAGCTGGGCCTGTACCAGGAGTGGATTGAGCTCGACCTGTTCAACAACGGGCTGGCGACGTTCTCGGAGGAGGACTTCTTGGCCGCGGGCCTGACGGCCGAGGACCGCGCCGTGATTGCCTTCATGGCGAACCAGGAGACGGGCCACGCGACGCTGCTGAGCAACATGCTCGGCGAGGCGGCGGCGCCGCAGTGCACCTACAACTACCCCTACACGACGGTGCGCGAATTTGTCGACTTCAACCAGAAGCTGACGCGGTGGGGCGAGTCGGGCGTCTGGGGCTTCATCAACCACCTGGACTCGCGCGAAGTCGGACAGCTGCTCGCGCAGTCGATCGCGACCGAAGCGCGGCAGCAGATGACGTTCCGGCAGATGCTGGGCCTGCACCCGTACCCCGTGTGGTTCGAGACGGGCATCCCGCAATCGTGGGCCTGGACCTACCTGGCGCCGTACATCAGCTCGTGCCCGGAGAACACGACACGTCTGGCGTGGCAGAACTTCCCGGCGCTGCACGTGGTCAACCAGCCGAACCCGAACCGCTTCTCGCCCAACGACACGGCCGACTACGAGGTGGTGGGCAACCGGACGGGTGACCCGTCGGACAGCCGCATCCCGAGCGAAGAGTCGTGCGTCAACCTCAACGTGACGGGCTACGGCTGCGGCCCCGCCATCGCGCGCAACCGCTCCGAGCCCCTCTCCTTCCCCGGCAAGCAGGTCCGCCTGACCTGGGACGCGCCGGGCCAGGCCGTCGGCCCTAACAACTCGTACGTGACGGCGTCGGAGGCGGGCGAGCCCACGTTCGTCGCGTGGGTCTCGCAGCTCAACCTCACGTACACCCCGCTCACGGTCACGGGCGACAAGGAGGGCTTCACGTACCAGCCGGCCTCGGTCGTGTACGAGGGCGACCCGGCGGCCAACGACACCATGTTCATTGCGCTGACCGACTGCGATCTCTACCTGACGCCGTTCAACCTCAGCATGATTAACCCGCATGTCAAGGCGCTGGGCCTGTACCAGGCTGGCTAGATTCGCTCGCTCTTTCTTGGATAAGGGATTGTGCGTGTTGGGAAACACTGCAGTGGGAGAACAAAACAAAACAAACAAAACAGACAGACAGACAAACGCCGGTCCACGGACCCATCAATCTGTCCATCTGTCTGCGACCAACGATGTCCATACGAAACGATTATTACCTTTACCAGTACCTAGCCGCGCATACAGCAAGGTCGCCTAGTCTAGTCTAGACCAGCGACCAGATGTCTGTCCACGGCTACGCAGTTAATGTCTGTAGTGTAATGTAGTTAGTTAGTGCAGTGTATTTGAAGCCGTAGTTGGAGTTGCAGGTGGTTGTGTACTCCTAGTTTAGCACAGCAACACAACCCAACACAACCCAACGCAACCCAACGCAACGACGACTTCTGTTAATGAAACAAAACGTACCTTATACAAACCAGAAAACCCCATGTGGACTGTGATCTATGGTCTGATGACGTGACGTGACAGCCGCTCTTATCTTATCTTTTCCTTTCTTTTGTAGGTAGGTAGTTGGTTGTATCGAGCGTCAAGCGTCATCTTAAAGACAAATGGCAAAACACATACATACATGATGGAAACGATACCTATCTAAGAACACACTCTCTCACACACAACAACCCCCCACCCCGTGGCCCCGCCTCCGTGCCTCCGTGCCTCCGACCCGCCGATCATGCAGCCCGCCCGCGCAGCACGTGACGTGACGGTCCGGGTCGCCCTCCCAGCGGAGCCGGCAACCGCCGAGCCGCCGAGCCGTGCCGGGGGCAGCCGCGCGTGCGTGCGCGTGCGTAGCGGTGTGCGTGGCGGTGTGGGTGTCGACTGCGGCTGCGCGGCCGCTGCTCACTGTGGCGAGGGAGAGGGAGGAGGAAGAAGAAGAATGAATGATGAAGGGAGGTGTTAGGGTGATGTGTAGTGTTGTGATTTCGGTCGTGGGTTGGTTGGTTAATGGTTGATGAGTTGATTGAGGATTGCGCGAGTGCGTTGTTTGTTTGTTTGTTTGTTTGCTGTGTGTACGTATTGGGATTGGGATTGTGCGACTGGGTTGGACTGGACTGGGTTTGGTAGGGTACTACTGGTAGGAAGGTATGAGGAGATAGATGGATGATGTGTGGGTGGATGGATGGATAAATAAGTAGATCGAGCGCTCGCAGCCGTCTGCTGCTGCATATAAGGTAGGTTGTACCCATTTGATGCTTTCCTTTCCTGGCGTCTTGTTTGCGTGCGCAGATATATAGTGGCGTGACGACAAGCAAGCAAGCAAGCAAAGAACAGAAACAACGACCGCATATAAAGCAGGGGAAAGCCAGCAGCAGCAGCAGCAGCAGCGTCAGCGCAAAAGAGACGGCAGAGGGGGGCAAGGTGCAGAGACGTCTAGGCGGAGACTACTAGGTACGGTAAGGTACGGTACGGTACGGTACGGTACAGTGGTACGCACGGCAGCAGCCGGCACCACTACTACAGAAAGCGACAGCAGCGACGACGAGTGACAGCAACAACAGCAACAGCAACAGCAACAGCAGGCTACAGCAAGCTACACAGCTACAGTGACAACGACAACGACAAGTACAAAGCCGCCGTGGAGCTGTGCCAGGGGGAAACAGTGGCTGGAGACAGGAGATAGATGAGGAGTGGCTTGCAGAGATGATGATGATGATGGTATGATGGATGGAGGGATGGATGGGGAGAGGGAGAGAGATAGAGATAGAGATAAAAAGGTTGTCGCTCATATACATACGGCCGGGGGAGAGGCGCAAACCATGATGTATGTGTGTATGTGAGTGAGAGAGAGAGGAAAATAAGGAAGATACTAATAGCTTTCTTGGCCGGAATTTGCTCTCAACAACAACACGCCGATGTAGTAGCAGCACTAATAGTACTAGGAGTAGTGCAGAAGGAAATGAAAAGAGAAAAAAAAAAAAAACTCCCAGAATTAAGGAAATACGCAGATACCAACACCCCGTGAGCTGCATAAAAAGTTCTGAATCCGAGCATCTTTCGTGTCCCGTCCTCTGTGCGTACAGTGCGTAGGCTCGTGCGTGCGCGGCTGCGGCGTGGAAAGGGGGAGGAGCAGAGCTGCATGGTGGTTTGGTGGTCGTCGTGGAAAAATAAATGAGGCCACCGTTCTCTAAAAAACATCCTCCGTCCAGAAGCGCTGCACAACACGCCCATGTCTCGTCATCGATCCGCCAATGTCCTTGTCATTGTCACCGTTCCCTTGACTGCTACTAGGCTTCCGTCAGGTCTGATGCAAAACCCGCGCGGCCCCCTGATTTTTAACAGCACTTTCCGCCCACACCGCCGGCGGCGCCCTGGTCACCAATGGAGACGTTCTGCGCGTTGGTCGCAGGCTCCGTCCGGGCCGTGTCGATGATGCGCTTCTTGATGTCGGCGGCGAGGCTGTAGAAGGCCTTGTCGACGTTGATGTTGCTCTTGGCCGACACCTCGAGGAAGGGGATGCCCAGCTCGTCGGCCAGCGCCTGGCCCTGCTCCGTCGAAACCGCCCGCTTCTCCTCCCAGTCGCACTTGTTGCCAATCAGGATCTTGTTCACGCCCTCGGTCGCGTGTTGCTCGACGTTGCTGAACCACGTCCGTATGTCTGTTGGAGAAAAACGCCCAAGTTAGCTCGCTGCGCCCATGACTGCCAAAAATATAACTCCGGCTCCGTGCCATCGGGATGTGCGTGTCTTAGGGGTGATGATGGCGAGGATTTCAAAGCTGCCCGGCCGCGGTATGAAGGTATGAAACGACGCCGCGACCGGCGGGGATTGCGAGGGGGAAAGGAGGGCATCTCACTGTCGAAGCTGCGCTCATCGGTGACGTCGTAGACGAGCAGTATGCCCATGGCGCCGCGGTAGTAGGCCGTGGTGATGGTGCGGAAGCGCTCCTGGCCGGCCGTGTCCCAGATCTGCAGCTTGACGCGCTTGCCGTCGAGCTCGATGGTGCGGATCTTGAAGTCGATGCCGATGGTGGTGATGAACGAGGGCGTGAAGCTGTCTTCGCTGAAGCGCAGCAAGCAGCACGACTTGCCCACGCCCGAGTCGCCGATCAGCAACAGCTTGATCTGGTGCAAAGTTAGCCAGCGGACAGGCAGGTGGACGGGGAAAGGGCAGGGCAGGGGCGACGCACGAGAAAGTCGTAGTTCCGTGTGCCAGCCATGGTCGTCGTCGTCTTCTTGGTCGTCGTCGTAGTCGTGGGAGCTTTGGATTGTTGCCGTCTACGTAAGTGTTTACTGGACCGAGCTCGGCGGGAATCCTTTGTCGACGGGGTTCAAGAGGGAGTGAAAGCAGCGGTGGCGGAGGGGTCGTAAAGCGGGCGTAAGGTAGATGGTTCACTCCTGGGTGGCTTTACCAAGATGGCGGCATGGGGAAGGATCCACTGACCGCCAAGAGCGGACACCAAGCGAACACCGAGACATGGTTTCTCCATGTGCGGCGCCCCCCCAAATCCTCACGGCTTTTTTGTGCATTTCACGCTTCTTCATTGCCTATGTTATGGTGCTATCAAAAGGCCAGGCTGGTGCGGCTTTTGCTGTCGCTCGCTGGCCCCTCTGCCACCCGCGCACGGCCGCTAACAGGGTATCAGGGTCTGGCCAGCCACTTTGCGTACGCCCACCGCATCCGCTTCAGCACCTTGCGTTGCTTCTTCACCCCGCTGCGAATGTCCACCAGATCGTCCACCTCCTCCAAAAAGTCCTGGAACACGCGCGCCGGCAGCACCCGGTTCGCCAGCTGCCGCAGCGTGTGCACCTCGCACAGTAGCAGCCCGTGGTCCTTGTAGTACAGCTCGCCGTACTTGTTGGGTTGCGCTGCGACAAGGATGCGGTCGATGTTCCTGCGCAAACGTCAACTATGTACGAGGGGAAAGAAAAAAGTAAGACCCCATACCTGAACATGCGCGTCACCTGACTCGTCACCTGCGTCTTGCGCAGTCCCTTGCGGTTGCCAAAGGTGCCTTGCAGCCATCTCGTCACTCCGAAACACACCATGACGCCCGGCGTCAGGCCGATGAAGCTGCGAACGTCGTCAGTCACTCTCGTACCAAGCCAAGCATCTCCGCCCCTCCGCCACTCACCCGAAAAGGAGCTCTTGGCTCTTAAGGATCGAGTCGATTCCGCTCATCGCAACCTCCACGTCGACCTTGGTCTTCTGGACCTGGATGAGCAGCGCCCTGATCAGGCTGCCCGTGATCGCGCCGATAATGGGCTTTTGCATGTCCTTTTCGTATGCCTTGAGAACCGGAGTCAGATCACCCTCGCGGACCTTGATCCGGACCTCTGCGATCTGAGCGTCGTTCAGACTGCCATTCTCGGGGTTCTGCACAGCAAAGTCCACAACCATACGCTCCAAGCTGTCACGGTCGCCCTCCAAGCTTCTCTTGCTCATGATGGAGACTTCGCTGCCCTCGTCGTGACGGATGGTGCCGACAATCTTCTTGACGGGCTCAACGACCCAGTTGGTCCAGAAGTCGATGGTAGTGCGGCCGAGTTCCATTATCCACGTGAGAATCTCTGCGCGCTTGTTCATGACGATACGGTAGATGGTGGTCGACGAGATCAGGAGAGCAGTTGCCGGGAGCCAGTAACGGACCAGCCTTGACGGCCGTCCGTGTTCCTTGGAGCGAGCCTTGAGTTCAGTCGAGTAGCCACCGAGGTGCTTCTCGACAATATTGATCAAGCGGCCAGCAACCATGGAGGTGCTCAAAGCGTCTGAACCGTGTGCGTCGCCGCTCTCGAGGATCTGGTAGTATTCGTCGTTTTCCGTCCGGGTTGCCACAGCGTTGTCGAAGTCGTCGGCGCCTTCCGGCTCCACGAGTTCCTGAAGTACGATATCCATGAGCGCAATTGACCGTGTGATGGCATCCTTCCAGAGATGCTGGCCGTCCTCGCTCGCTGCCGTTGGAGACCTGAAACCTTCGGCGTGCGCACTGGAGTTGAATTAGTACCATGACGCGTGAAAAGAACATAAATAGTGAAGCCCTGCCCGACATACCTGTGATGACTTAAACCTTCGCCGAGCAACACACCCAAAGCATTCGCATTGGTCAAGCGAATCCGCTTCAAGACGGACTGCTTCCTTCTAGCCTCATTGCGCACCAGCGCCAACGGGGAGAGCACCTTCCGCTGAATATTGGCAATCGACCGCTCCTGGACGACCTCCTGCACAAGGCCATAAAACTGGCCCCAGCCATCCCTCAACCCGCCCCCTCTCCGCTTGACATCCTGATAAACGTCCTTAGTCCAGCCCCACAGGCGGCCGGGCGACGTCTGCACCGAGTACAGCCCCGCGGCGCGATACGACCCCAGCACGTCGTCCCAGTACCAGATATCGTCGTTGAGGGGGAGCGTCTGATCGAGGATGGTGCTAAGCACAAGGCCGTACGTATGCGCGGCCGCCTTGCTAAGCAGCAGCCACTCGAGCTCGCGCTCATACGAGAGCGTTGCAGCGCCAGCAGCGCGGACGTCGTCGTCGTCGTGCTGGTGCCCCGCCGCCGCTGCGATCTGGGCTTGGCGCAGGACGGCGTGCAGGCGGTCGCGCGACAGCAGCGCGCCGTGCTTGGTGGCCGCCGACACCGACAACGACTTGATCAGCTTCTGCAGGTGCTGGATGCGCGCGCTGTCCTGCGGGCTGCTGTCGGTAGTTGTTGCTGCGGCGGCGGCGGCGGCGGCGGCGACGGCCGCGCTCGTCCCTGCGCGTCGGAGCCCCGAGAGCTGCACCCGGTCGAGCTGGCTGTCGATCCGGCGGACCTGGCTGTTGGGCGCGGGTGCTGTGGTTAGTTGGGTTTCTTTCCTTTCTTTTCAATGCCATTGTGCGTAGGGGAGGGAAGGACGGGATGGGATGGGCAAGGCAAGGGCAGGACAGGGACGGGCAGGACGCACTCGACAACGAAAGACATGGTGTGTACTGCGCGCCTCAGCTATCACCAAAAACCATAGTAGCTTTGAGTTTTCCACGGCCTTGAGAGCAAGGTAAGGTAAGGTACGGTAAGAGTCAGAGGAGAGAAAGAGGAGAAGAAGAAGAGGCGAAGCAGCGCCAGCGCCACTCTATGTCGGGCTATTTATTTGTGTGTACAGCAGCCACGCGAGCCCTTGCCTTGCCCCGGCGGCGCGTGCAGGTGGGTGGGTACTGTAGGGCCGCGATGTAGGTAGGTGGCTGTTTCGCGCTGCGTTTGCCTGCTTTGCTTGGCTGCGTGTGTGAGCTGTCTCGCGCGCGCATGACGTACCGCGCGGCTCCTCCAGATGGAGACGGATGGACGGGGAGCTGAGCGAATCTGCCCGCCGCCGCTTGCCGCCCCGCCTGTGCCCGCCTGCCCGCTGCCGAGACGACGGACCCCGCGCGCGCGTGCGTGCTGCTGCTTTTCTGCACCTCTTGCCCTCCTCCGCTCTGTCTGTACCTACATACCTAGGTAGGAGACACTATAGAGTTAAACAAAACATCTTGCGTGCAAAAAAAATCTACAACTGCGACCCACCCCACCGCAGCTTAGCTGTCGCGTGCTATAGCTGCTCCAGCGTTGCTGTGGAGCGTCCATGGGCTGATGCGGGGCGCGCGGGCGGCTGGACCGCTGTCTGCTGTCAAGGCGTTGATTTTGTGTGTTGTTGAATGTCTTCCTGTGGGGGATGAGGCTGGTTTTTTTTTTTTTTTTTTCTGCTGTAGACCTTCCTCTGTAGCCTCGGGCAGTTCTACAGGCCTCGTTAGCACTCTAAACAATTCGTCTTTCGTGTCATGTCGTGCCATATCACCACACAATCGCAAAAAGAGACAGACAACAGCGCAGACACAGTCAGTTCGTCTGACATTACTAGGTACCAACCTAACTACCTCCTTCCTCCGAGAAAGCCATCCCGTCCCTATCCCACCTACCGCCACAAACAGCCAGCCAGACAGCGCACGCAGCCCGCACACGCCGCGGGGATTAAAGCCAGCGGCGCGGTTTTGATTTTTCCCTTTCCCCTCCCTTCCATACCCACGCGTTGATATATACCCAGCTATACATTAAGCATTGCAACCCGCAAAAAAAGCACTAACAATTAAAAAATCAAAAGCAAAAGCAAAGGCAAAGCAAAGCAAGCTCGCGGCTCTCCGCTCGGCTGCCTAGCTTACAACCTTACAGCAGCAGCAGAGCAGCCAGGCCACCAGCCGCCGCAGCGCCGAACACGTTCTTAGCATTGACCGCCGCCGCTGCGCCCGTGTAGACAGGGAACGCGGGCGTGGGGGTAGGCGTGCCGGTGGGCAGGGGAGTGCCGCCGACAAAGACGCTCTGGATAGTGGAGCTAGCGCCGAGGATGCCAGTCGAGGCCGGGGCATCGACGGTGCTGGTAGCGGAGACGGGGGCGGGTGTGCCGGCGGCGAGGCCCGTCTGCGTGGTGACGACGGTGCCGACGGTGACGACGTTGGTCGTGAAGGCGACTTGCGGGACGGTGATGGTCGTCGAGAGGACGGAGACGGTGCTGCTGCCCTCGATGACGGAGCCGATCGCGCTGCCCTCCGTCGCCGTGCACGGCACTGTCAGCGTCTGCTCGATCGAGATCGTCGTCATGGGCGAGCCGGTGGGGCCAGTGGCCGCGGCGGGGGTGTTGGCCGGCGCGGACGTCAGGCCCGCAACTGATGAGGCGGGGCCGGCAGGGGCGGAGCCAGCGGGCGCGGAGCCAGCGGGGACAGGGGCAGGGGTGACTCCAGCGGGAGCGGGTGCGGTACCGGCGGGAGCAGAGCCAGCGGGCGCAGAGCCGGCAGGGGCCGGGGCAGTGAAGCTAGCCGTAGAGACAGCAACAACCGAAGTCTTAATGGCAGTGGAGCTAGCGGGGCAGTTGGTGACCTCAGGACCGCACGAGGTGATGGTGTACAGCTGGGTAGCGTAGACAGTCTCGGGACCAGCAGCAGGAGCAGAGGTCTCGCCGGAGACGCCAGAGGCAGGAGCGGAGCCAGCAGGGACGGGGGCAGAGCCGGCCGGGGCAGAGGGCGCGGGGCCAGAGGCTGCGGGGGCGGAGGTCTCGCCGGAGATGTCGGAGGTGGCCGGGGCGGAGCCAGCGGGGACGGGGGCAGAGCCAGCGGGGACAGGGGCGGAACCAGCGGGAACGGGAGCAGAGCCAGCCGGAGCAGAGCCAGCAGGAACAGCAGCAGTCTCCGTAGCAGCGAAGCTAGTGGTAGAGATAGCAACGAGGGAGGTCTTGATAGCCGTGGAGCTAGCCGGGCAGTTGGTGACCTCAGGGCCGCAGGA